ACAATGGCTCCAATGTTTATGCCCTAACCCTTGAAGCCAATTCCAGCCAAAAGGGGCAAAATATTAACCGACATTTATCATCATAAAACATACACTGTAAAGGATGCTTTACCGCAGCAATACACTGTATATCGCACAAACAGATATGTCTGTATAAAAGTGATTTGCGGACAAAAAGAGTAATTTTTGGACGTATTATTATATTTTGCTCTCGTCATAACGGAGAAATATAAAATTAGACGCCGCCAAGTGAATTGCTTCTGATATATTTGAATGCAAAAACTAACAGCGTGCATTTGCAACAATTATATAAAGAGGTGTTTCTCTTCAGTTTACTTTCACATATAATAATTGTAATCGAAGAAAAACCATATGTAGAAAGGCTACATGCGGCAAATATTCAAAGAATTGTGTTATTTTAGGTCTTTAATATTATTTTCTTGCAACTCTCACCAGAAATATAAATATTATTTAGATTTAGATAAATATTTATTTAGATACTTTGTATATATGTTTATATTTCTCAAGAAACAAAAGTAGTGTTCTAAAGAATCAAAATGAATCAAAAAGTGTTGTAATGAGTCTTGTACATTACGTGTGAGTACATCGAGAAAATAAGACAGCGATAATCAGAATTATAATGTTATAGATAAAGCGTCATTTTAATGGAAAAAATGAAAGAATTAGAATACTAAGTAATAAGATTGTACCATTACTTATAGTTACAGCAATTGTATCATTGTTTTGAGACCTTTCTATTGAAAATGTGTATTTAAATCACATACCCATAGATGTACGGTGCGTTAACTGGAGTGCAGGTATTAGTTTACTGCACTCCAGTTCATCACACTGTCTATCGGTAATCAAATGAGGTTTGATTATTGTGACGACAGTAAATAGGATAATGATAGATAAATCATATTAAGATGCTCGTACATTGGTTACAGTTTTTCGGGGGATATTGTCATATGGTCATATTGTGACGACAGGGAAACTGTTGCTTTTTTGCTTATGAACAAACGAGGATGAACATCAAGACACTCCTTCCTCATTGTACAAATCACAAATCAGACAGACAGACTCATGTTCCGATGCTCGTTCAATTATTTATTCAGATGATTACATATAATGACAGATAAAATGACATGATATTTATTCTACGACGCACAAGAAAGATTCATAGCGGATGCCTTAGGCACTCATTTTGTATCGTCATAGATACAGCCCTACTTAACGCTATTTTGTACATTTTGTTAATATGTTTAAATGAGAGACATGGGCAATTCAGTTAAATAATAACCTTCGACCAAAGCAAGGCATCGACAATGTCAGGGTCTCCTTTTGACACATATTACCAGAATGTGAAAAAGCTGCCGTTAAATACGGTGCATTTGTATCATGGACTCGATTACTATTGTTAAAGTGTTTCTTTCTAATTTATCAAAACACTAAGCTTGCGTCTATCTCTGGAATTTACAATATAAAAAAATGTGACTACAATTTTGATATTTAAGTTGATAGCAGTTTTATGATGTCCTCTTATGATTTCCGATGCTATGAGCAATGCGGAAGAACATTTCGCTTTTGTTCTGAGGTAGCTAGTTTGGACACAATGCCTTGTTTCTTTATATGTCCATTACGGGTCTGAAATAAATTTTTGTAATCTGGAAAATGGTACTGTGCGTTAGTTTGATGTCTCTTTAGCTCTCAAAGCGTTAGTTTCTATATCAAATGCTTTCTTGTCCTAATTCCTAAAGTCACTTTGTCAGAGGGCTAAACGTGTTATAACCACTTGGATGACATTTTTATGTCGCCTTGAGTCTCTGAATTGGACTATATTTTATCTAATAAACAGACCTCGAATTAACTATAATATTAGTTCTGTTTATTCTATTTTGAGAAGTAATTGATATTTATTTAATACCTATAATAAATCTGAATACAATAGAATATCTTACCAATATACGGATGTCGTAACTTATCACAATAGTACAGAACAAATCTTTGGTATTTGTTAGACACGATCTCGTGACCTCACCAAAGTGCAAAAGAAATATCGGTAGGTTGTCATGACACATACAAGGAAGACACAATTTAATTGAACTGATGTTATTTTTGAACAGACTATACACTCTGTTCATTCAGCAGTAAGATAGAAAAATACAGTGAAGGGGACACAACTCTTAACTATAAGTTTGACATTTTGAGTGTGATTAGAACAAAACCTTTTATACTCAGTCTGTTCAAACTTGTTTTGTTTTCCAGAGTATTGAACAGATCATGGTTAGTTTATAAGGGTAAATCGCGGTGTTTTTCAACGCAGCCTCGAAGGACAAAAACCGTATACTGTCTATATATACAGCCTTGCTTAGTACTATGGTTCTATGCTGTGGGTATAGAGTCTTTTTTGGCACCGAGGCAAGAAAGAAAAGAAATGGCAATTAAAGACAACAAATATCATTTAGTGAATCTGTTGAGATTAATTGCTTGACGTTTACATCGATTTTTTGTTAGCGATTTATTTTCTTAATAAAGGTAAGAGTAACACGTTTATGTTTCAACAATAATTATTTTATAAATTGATTTTTTCAAGAAATGAAAACGCTTATGCTTATATAGCGGACTTAATATTTGTTTATTATTGGTGATATTTCGTTGTACAAAGAAATACTGATTAGAGTCAGGATATGTAACAGCATGTTGGCCTTTGCAGTAGCGGGAATGCCTCCATAGGTTGATGCCACCGTTTAGCCCCGCGTCATCGTAAGAGGCGACAAAATGGGTTAGAATTACTGGAATCTATGCATTCCTTAGCTCTAGTCGATGAGGTGTTTTTGACCCCTGGTGTTGTATTAAGTTTGTAAAACTAAGTTACCTAAAATCATATTTCCCGTTTCGGTGCCATATGACCTAAACTATGATGGTGCACCTTAAAACCAAACAAACAAACAGAACGTTAGATAACAATGGACTTTGAACTGCCGAGAATGATGATTCCTATATATGTATCCTAGTAGAATCAGCTGTCAAAATTATCATATCTTTGCAAAGGTAGGCGTAGCTTTATATCAGCCCAAAGCAATATACGTTCGCAATTGTATCATTTATAACATTTAAGATACTCGCCTACTGTCACCTACTGAAAAAGAGGAAAAGAATTTCTGAGTTAAAGAATCTCTACTTTATTTTATATAATTTAAACAAGATGCGTCATGTAACTTCCCCCTAATTACTAAACATTAAAGGCCCATTGTGCCTCAGAAATGGGATTTATTTTAATGTCTCAAAATCTTTTATTGTTTGGTATTCTTTTATAGATTCCAAAAAGTTACTCATTGGCCTATTATCTGAACTGCGCTTTTTAGCAATTGGTACATTTATGGTGAGTATTTTGTATGAAAGTCAGCGTACTACTTTCCTTACATCATTTGGCTATTTGTATGACAGATCATTTTACATTAAGCCATACTTTATACAAGTATGATGCACTTGAAAAGTTTGTGGACCGTCTGCATGTTGGTGTAGAGCTGCTAACTGTAGTCATTTACGTATAGAAGGTCTAACATGTATGTGACGATGTTAACAGAAGGAGTATAGGCGATACTGTGTGAACGGCGGTGCGTAAATGAACGCTATGAGCAGCCGTGCTTGGTGTTAATGACGGATGTTTGCGTGTGTTAAGCCGTTAACTATTCGTGCATAAATGATGTTAATCAAATGCTTATTTCTAGCATTATGATAGAATGAGGTTTCAAAAACTTTACTTACAAACCTAAAATACGGTATTTCGATAATTTATAAATGATACATTGTTTTCAGACATAAAATGACTACAGTTTTACGTTTTTCCTCAGACTTTAGTACATTTGTATTGGTATGATTATTAATCACTCTTTCGAGATCTTAATTAGAGAGTGTTACTTGATAGTTTTGAAATGCAAGTGTGCCTGATTCGTTAGTTGTTTGCGAAAAGAAATTGGGGTAACTGAAGCACCTACTCTAAATAAAAAAAAAACAGTATAACTTTTCTGCGAATAAAATATTTATGTATTGTACGAGGAGAAAGTGGTTTTATACATGGTCTGCATTCAGGTTATAAATTTATAACCAAGCAAAGAACAAAGTTTTGCTGTTTTCACCGACGTAGATAATCATGAACTTGGTTAAAAGCGTAGGTCAATAACGATTTGTATACAGCTACGCAGAAGCAAAGAACTTTATTTATCTAACTACAGATATGTTATATAGGGATCAAAACAAACTTTTAGGTTGACATTGTTGGAAGGGAAACAACTGTTGATAGAAATGATCTCGTATACGACACAGTTATGCATCTTTATTACATGTTTTACAGGAGAAATTTCTCAAGTTACAGTTGAAGCTTCTCACATGATGGATGTCCGAGAAGTTCATTTTGCTTCGTTTTTGTACTACATTTCAATGCAATGATTTTTATGCGAATCATGAGAGCATGAGAGAACTTATGATAATAATATTTATATCTCAGAATTTAAATGAAGTATAATAACAAAACATTGTTTGCTTTGCCAAAAGACCGCCGGGGACATTTCATCTTCACGAACCCCAAATTTCATATTCATGAATTCACAATTATAACTTCGTGAATTCATTTTTTCTACATACGGAATTCACGAGTTAACGATTTCAGCTTCATGAATTCATTATTTCAACTCAAATTGCATTTACGATTTCAACTTCACGAATTCACGATTTCAACTTCATGAACTCATTGAAATCGTGAATTTGCAATCGTGAATTCATGAATTTGAAATTGTGAATTCGTGAAGTTAAAATCGTGAAATCATGAAGATGAAATCGGGAGTTTATGAAGTTGAAATGTCCCCATCGGTCCTTTGTACTCAAATGACTACTACTTCTTGATAATAAATGTCATAAAACGATGTATAATATATAGCAATATTATACATATTACAAATAAATGGAAATCAATAGTTTGTCATTGAAGCATATATTTATTGGCAAATCAAATACATGGTTAAACATTTTGTAAAATGGTTTTTGTAAAATGGTTCGTCCATTTAATTATTTGATAAAAAAAAATAGTTTCAGTTATAAAAATCATTACAACTAAATTAAGGTATGAACACATATAGTAATATCTAATGAATGAGATAAAATATAAAACTAATTTTTTATCTTATATATAAAAAAATGATAAAAATGGAAACATATATAAAGTGCAAATAAAAAAGATATGAAAATAAACTCTGGAATAAAAGTTATATACAAACATATATAAAAATATAAACAAGAAAACAATATTTCCTTTGAATGTGTACAGTTTGCAGAATATGTCCATTTTGAATTCGACGAAATAACACATAGTCCATTGAGCAACTTCTTTAGATAGGACCCTTGTAAAGAAGACCTAAAATAAATGAAATACGAAGATATTAAATATTAAATAATGTTTTTCAGGAAAGCACTCTATCCAGCAAATAGTTCAAACATTACGTTCGGCTATTTCCGTCGCTTTCCGGTCACCTTTACTTTCCGCCCAGAAAATATATACGAAGACTGCTAAGTTCTCACGAGCTCAGGAGATATAAAAATATGATACTGATATTCTTTAATCAACAATACAACCCGATGATTTTAAAGTAATTGCTCATTTTACTTTTTTACTTTTTTCCCCTTTTTTTCTTTTTTACTGAGCTCTGGTTTTATCTATGAATTGAACTGTGTGTGTTCATCTTACCACAATATCCTAATGTATAAATGTTATAGAAACAAAATATGTGATGTAATGAGGATCATCTGAACGACCATCTTGTTTCCAGATTTTTTTGCATAGTTCTTTGATTCGACCAACTGCCTTATGCTTTTTGTGAAAATTTCTTGCTTTCTTGCTTCTGTATATCATTAAGGGAGCTGTAAATTTCAATAGCAAAGCAAACATACCGCATTTACATAAGAAAACATGGCATTAATACGTAAGAAGATCAAATAAAGGCATCTCAGTAGTCATCCCAATAAAATGGTTAATAAATATTATACATATTACAACCTATAACATTTTTCGGAATGTGTGTTCGTTCATGAAAATTTGAAAAAAATAAATGAGCCGCGTCACGACAAATCCAACATAATAGGTTTGCGACCAGCATGGATCCAGACCGCGCAGTCTGATAAGGATCCATGCTGTTCGCTTACGACCCATATAACAAGTAAAGAAACTAATAACGAACAGCATGGATCCTGATCAGACTGCGCGGTAGCGCAGGCTGGTCTGGATCCATGCTGGTCGCAAACCCATTATGTTGGTTTTGTCGTGACGCGCATCAATTAATATTAAAAGTCAAGATTATTGCAAAAAAGAACACATTTTTTTTTAAAAAAAAAAGATCCGACTTATCCACAATCCAAAAGCTAAGCATGCGGGCTGGAATTTATGTGATCATCATCAATGGTTTCTAACATAAGAAACAAAAAAATGTTTTAATAAACCTTGTGAAGGTTCACGTTTTTAGTCATCTATTAGAAAAAACTCTCTCATGATGCAAATACTCCGTACCATATATGTTATCCTTAAGCAGTTGCAACTTTAAAGCTTAAATGATCTTTACTTTTTATTCATGAATGTCAGTTACTATGTAATTTTTGCTAAGTGAGTACTCATCCGCTTGTTTAGGCTACCAAATGCAGCGTTCGCTGTCGAGTATGGACCCTGGACATGTCACCAGTCATTAATTTTGAACCATAAAATGATGAATAGTTACCTCCGTGTTACTGTCACGGATTTTTGGACAAAGATGTGAATTTTGAGGCAAAAGAATGTCATTGTGAAGTCATAAATGAAAAGTTTAATGTACAGTAACCCGAGACAATATGAAAAGGTCAGGTAACCCTGAAAAGTGCTGTTTGTTGCAGGAAAGTGACTGTTTTTCAAGTCTTCACTTTGTGCTAGGGTGTGTAACTCTTCCTCGTTGTCTCTGCCTACTTTGTAGGGCAACTATCAAAGATTCACCCATTGAATAAGTATCAACTACTCATTATTACACAAGTTCAATCTCCCTGTTTTACATTACTACAAGGTTACATGCATACATATCTATTTTTTGATAAAGGATGCTATTCTAACATGCTTATGAACTTTCACCTCCTTTCTATATCTAAATTTAAAATTTAATGCGTATGGCCTTAGGGACAGCAGGGGAGTTGACAGTTACAGGCAAATAATGGGCAATTGACAGCAAATTCCAAATAAAGTAATAATAATGAGCGTTACTTTTAAAGCGCGTTTGGCGTTGGCGTTTATGCAGAAGCGTTGATTGTAATAAACAGTTTGCCATTTAAGGGTAAACTACTTTGTCTAACAATAACTTTATAGTACATGCTATTAATAGTTCAACTCTTGAAGACATACAGATTTTTCTTTGTGAGATAATTATTATCTCATATTCAGTTTGATAATAAACGCCATAGTAAATAATAAACGCCATAGTAATTAATAAACGCTATAGTAATTAATAAACGCCATAGTAAATAATAAACGCCATAGTAAATAATAAACGCCATAGTAAATAATAAACGCCATAGTAATTAATAAACGCCATAGTAAATAATAAACGCCATAGTAAATAATAAACGCCATAGTAAATAATAAACGCCATAGTAATTAATAAACGCCATAGTAAATAATAAACGCCATAGTAAATAATAAACGCCATAGTAAATAATAAACGCCATAGTAAATAATAAACGCCATAGTAAATAATAAACGCCATAGTAATTAATAAACGCCATAGTAAATAATAAACGCCATAGTAATTAATAAACGCCATAGTAAATAATAAACGCTATAGTAAATAATAAACGCCATAGTAATTAATAAACGCCATAGTAAATAATAAACGCCATAGTAATTAATAAACGCCATAGTAAATAATAAACGCCATAGTAATTAATAAACGCCATAGTAAATAATAAACGCCATAGTAATTAATAAACGCCATAGTAAATAATAAACGCCATAGTAAATAATAAACGCTATAGTAATTAATAAACGCCATAGTAATTAATAAACGCCATAGTAATTAATAAACGCTATAGTAAATAATAAACGCCATAGTAAATAATAAACGCCATAGTAATTAATAAACGCTATAGTAAATAATAAACGCCATAGTAAATAATAAACGCTATAGTAATTAATAAACGCCATAGTAATTAATAAACGCCATAGTAATTAATAAACGCTATAGTAATTAATAAACGCCATAGTAAATAATAAACGCCATAGTAAATAATAAACGCTATAGTAATTAATAAACGCCATAGTTATTAATAAACGCCATAGTAAATAATAAACGCCATAGTAATTAATAAACGCCATAGTAAATAATAAACGCCATAGAAAATAATAAACGCCATAGTAAAGATTAACGCCATAGAAAATAATAAACGCCATAGTAAATAATAAACGCCATAGTAATAAATAAACGTGACCTGTTTCTTTTTTATGAAAATTAAATGAACTTGCTTAACATTTAAACTTTTATCCTTAACTAAAATAATTTAAGGGCTGAACCGCGGAAGTATTCAGTTTATATACAGTTTGCATTAAGAGAGCAAATAAATAAGCAAAACACATACTAAATAAGGCATGTGCTTTGAGACATTGTTATGGACAGACCCCCCCCCCCCCCCCCCACTCCCCTCCCATCGTGATAATCTTTGTTTTCATACTGTGTCAATACATGAGAACCGAACTATTTTTAATACAATCGATGAAATTCCACAAACATGTTGTGTGTAACTATTTTCCGCGGACGGACAAAACGGACATGACTTACCAGTACACAACCAGAATATATATGTTTATAATATTATGTATTAAATCATATCTGTATGTATAAAACTGTCTTCACATAATAACCAACTACAAATGACTAAACATTAATTACTAAAACAGTTAACAGTAGGATGGGCGAACTACCACAAAAGATATTATTACAATAAAAGCATGCCATGCAAGTTGCCTCCCCCGAACGTGCTTTGTTTACCTGCTATACACGCCGTCATAAAACAGGCAACGTTACCCGCTATCATTGCCCTTATAATGACTTTTGTGATGTCCCGTTTTCTGTTCGGGGCCATTGCCCCAAGCGCCCCTATCATTACCCCAATTGATGCCAGATTGGAAAAGCCACAAAGGGCGTACGTTGAAATGACTATTGACCTTTCCTGTAAAGAAAGCAATATGAATATTATTTCTTGATATCAAATATATTTGTCGGATCAGAAAACCATGACCTACCTGCTATGCATGCCGTCATAAAGCATGCAACATTGCCCGCAATCATTGCACGAACGACAACTTTGGTGATATCTTTCTTCCGGCTGGGAGCCAGAGCGCCAAGGGCACCAAGCATAATACCTATTGATCCGATATTTGAAAATCCACAAAGAGCGTATGTAGCTACGACAACTGATCTATCCTGTAATGATGAAATTTGTTCATAATAAATGATACTAAAGCCTTAAAACCTTTTTACATTTGATCGCAAAAGTTTTCTAAATTTACATTATTTAATCAAATATAAAAACATGTGAATAAATATTAAAGAAACTCCACTGAGGTCCAAAAGCATGAAGATATACAAATTGATTTTTTTACATAAACGACCTGGGAAACTTAAATCAGAAATATATGCAAAAGATAATTAAAAAATATACTCAGAAATAAATTGAAAGTCATTTTTTGCGTTATCTTTAGCTCGATTTGAGTCAAAGGCATTGCAACGCTTTTCGATTTCGATCATTTCTCACAATTAGAATCATAATTCTGGAAAAACGGAACGAGCGAATTATCTGATATTTTGCACATAAGTTATTAGTCAAGACCTACATCAAATGGAATATTATTCTTGGGAAATTGTTTTCAGCTCTATCATGTCAAAAAACCTCAGGGCAATCCCTTAAAATTAATTTTCGTTTGCAAAAGACAAGTACGTATTTGGCATCTCAAAATTGTTAATTATAGCGATGGGAAAACACATACAGAATCAAACAAGAAGGTATAACAGGGAAGTCCTTTTGCCCTCATTATTGCAACTCCATTCACCTTTTGCAAAGGGAAGAGAGAGAGCATGAAATGTATGTTTGAAAGAAAAATAAACAACAGGTATCTAGTGTCTCGTGACATATACTTCAGTGACGTCAAATTTCATTTGAATGCTCAGACCCCTGAAGAGTAAGTGCAGAATCTATAAATCGAATACTAAGCAAGTGCAGGGATGCGCTTATAGCCATGTTCTCATTGTTTTGAAATAGAGATACCACCCCGAAGAATCATTCAGATGGTTTAAATTAAGAAGATAGTGTAGATAGTTTTTGTACTTCAGAATGTTTATCAGAAACATCAGATATGAAGAAACATTGTATCACTGTAAGTGATTCTTGTTTTTAAAATGATTAAGAAAGTAGGTGAGAAGTATATATCTTACAGTAATGTCTGATCAATACACACAGATGTCTATAACAAACTAAGTGAAACAAACAGTTTTTCCTCAAGTAACGATCATATACTTACATGATATCAAGCTTGTATCTAATATACTGTAAGAAACACTTTATCATATCATCTAAATTACATTAAAGTTATAATTATATGCCAATAATACCTAGTAGGGGAGAGAAATCTATTTTAGTATAATAAGATGGAATTGCGTCCCTTATAACCTTTACATGTTTAAAAGTGATATATTCCTCTGAATTTTCACCGTTAATTGACTTATCTATAACATTAATATATTTTGAGGACAGCCTATTTATGCAGTCTGACCTTATTGTGCACTGTCTTATAATTTATATTATCAGTTTGACATACGCATTCTTTTAAAACAATCAGAAAATATTCATATCCGATCCATTTCAATTCTGGTCTATTATACAAGTTAAACGATTCAAATCTTAAGTATGATTAGAACCAATGTATTCCATGCGCTTTTTTAAAAGTAATGGTCCAAAAATAATAGTAGTTTTCGATGTGATAATAGCTCAATTAAAAAAAGTCACCACAGAAAAGATAAAGGGATAAATAAATGAGATGTAACGTAAATCACGCACTTAATCAATTACAATTACACATGAAACAAATAAAAGATGCTGGTTTTACCATAGTGAATGATATTTTACATATAAAACAGTATAGTTTTATTTTAAGTAGTAACTTAAGCAAGATTCCTGTTTTTACTCATTAAACCACTTTGATATGTTTAATGTTTTGGTGAATATTCAAAACTTACCGATAAAATGCCCCCTACAAGAACCTCGCCTGTGTAATTAATGATAATGTCATCATTTTTGTGTGACGTGCCGTTGTATGTCTCGTCGCTAAGATAAGCGTTGTATTTGGCTGTGTTACCGATATAGGTACTCAATTCTGAAAACATCAAGTATGTAAGTACTGGCTCACAAACGAGGAAAGATGGATAAATATTAGAGGGAAGATAATAATACAACAAAATACATCTTAGGTATATTGAAGAAATGCATTGTATATTGTTACACGTGCATAGTAAGATCACACGGAAAGAAGACAACAAAAAACAGACTCTTATAATATTTTGTTCAATGTATATGTTTCAAACATTCTTAGGTATTGGTGCAAGACTTAGCGTGTATAAAATGTTAAACATTAACGTTGGAAATGTTTAGGAAATGTTTAATCATTGTTAAACTTAACAATAACAATGGCGTCATAATCTTTGCAAAAGTATGCTTAATTTTTCTGATGTTAATTGTTGTAAAAAACAAACTGGTTAGGTCAAAGAATATCTTATAAATTGACTGCAGTCAGATTGATATGCAAAGAAAAGAAGAAAAAACTGAATAATTACACATTAATCTACTTCATTTTTGTTTTGTTTCAAGAGGTATATGCCTAAGACCAAGTCAACTTGTATCATCATTGCAATAGGCACTATTCTTAAACATATATAAACTTACTTATAATACTGCACGTTTGTAACGTCATTTTTCATTGGATAATCGTGACGTTTATATAGTTTTATATACACAGCCGCTGTCGATTCATGAAGGAATCTTACTTTTTTCTCTAGAAATGACGCTTGCTGTATTATATATTCGTTATTAAGATTGTTGACAGGTTATATGGCCGTATATAAACGGCTATTTGCAACATAACACTCGCCTAACGGCTCGGGTTATATTTACAAATACCCGTTTATATATGGTCATATAACCTGTCAACGATCTTTATAACTCATAATATATGCATTTTTGTCAATACCATCGATACTTGTTAATCGTGTCCGTTTGCAAAATGTGGTGTTCATATACGGATGTACATGTAGCTTTTAACATTAAAATATTATATTACCTCCATAAGCAACAAACTCGTTCAAAAATGTTTTTGTTCCAATCATTCCTGCAACTTTTCTCACGTCATCTACGTCAGTACCGAGTAACCAAGACACCGGATAAAACAAATATGAGCAAATAAGCTGAAAAGTAAAATAAATTTAAGCCGCGCCATGACATAACCAACATAATGGGTTTGCGACCAGCATGGATTCAGACCAGCCTGCGCATCCGCGCAGTCTGATCAGGATCCATGCTGTTCGCTATCAGTTCCTCTACTTGTTATAGGGTTTGTAAGCGAACAGAATGGATCCTGATCAGACTGCGCAGATGCACGCAGAAGCTTCACGGTGCATCACCGTTCCTAAAAGAGATATTAATCAATACGTTCATTATCGAAAGATTAAACAAGTTGCAACTGTGTCGGGGATTAGATAGGACAAAACGAATTTGTCGATATTCGTTTATAAGCACATTTTCTACATGAAAACGAGATATGGATAATATCATTGAGCCCGACTATCTAAAACAGTGCGCATGCAGACATATACACATATATTAAATGATTACAATAGATATGCAGAAAGAAACTCTGAACTCTTATGTAAGTGTCGTATCAAAATACTACAAAAACATAAACACTAATATTGTAACAGCTGTATGACGTGACAATTTTATAATAAGTTCGCTGAATATGTTCAGTTCAAAACAGTAAATTACAATGTGTAGCTACTATTTGAAGAACTTAAAGGCACATTGTGCCTCAGAAACGAATGACGATTTACATATTTAAAAAAAGACAAACTTCTTTAAAAAATAGACAAACGTCTTTAAGAAAAAACAAACTACTTTAAGAAAAGACAAACTTCTTGAAGAAAAAGACAAACTTCTCAACTTCTTTAAGAAAAGACAATCTTCTTTAAGAAAAGACAATCTTCTTTAAGAAAAGACAAATTTCTTTTAAAAAAAAAGACAAACTTCTTTAAAAAAAAAAGACAAACTTCTTAAAGAAAAAAACAAACTTCTTTAAAAGAGAATAAAAAAAGACAAACTTATTTAAGAAAAGACAAACTTCTTTAAAAATGACAAACTTTTTAAGAAAAGACAAACTTCTTTAAGAAAAGACAAACTTCTATAAGAAAAGACAAACTTCTATAAGAAAAGATAAACTTCTTTAAAAATAAGACAAATTCTATAAGAAGAAAAGACAAACTTCTTTAAGAAAAAACAAACTTCTTTAAAAAAAAAGACAAACCTCTTTAAGAAAAGACAAACTTCTTTTAGAAAAGACAAACTTCTTTTAGAAAAGACAAACTTCTTTAAGAAAAGACAAATTTCTATAAGAAAAGACAAACTTCTTTTAAAAAAGACAAACTTCTTTAAGAAAAGACAGACATGAATTTTATAGCATTTAAATAATGGTTTCAAACATGTTAGATACCTGTTACCTAAAGACAATGGCGCTAGATACGAAATAAAATAACATAAAGTAACAAAATGAAACCAATTTAGTATTTCGACATCCATACAAAATGCTTAATTACTATAACTGTACTTAGTACGAAATCACCAGAAGATAAAGATAATCCATGTATTTGGAAAATATTTACTTTTTTGAATCCATAAAAGTACACTAAAAATAAGCAGCTTTTAAAAATAAATAAGAAATGTCTGTGGCATAAACGGCCTTTGAATACACAGCTACAACAGCTAAATGTTTACGAAATGCACAAGGAACGAATCATTTTAAACTTACCGTGAATGTAAGTTCTGGATCATACATATCGACTCTGTGGCCCAGCCAGATGAGGGTACTGTCTAGAAACTTCAGGATGGCAAGGAAAGCAATCAGGTTAACAGCAATGTTAGCAATAAGTTTGATTGAAATAGACGCACCGTTACTAGCAGCTTCAATGATGTTCGACTCTGTCCTAGAAACAAAGTATAAAACATATAAAAAAAAAACTAGAAATGTGTCCAAAGGACACGGGTGCCCCCACCGCGCCACTGTTCTATCAATCTTTTTACTAAGTCAAGGGAAATTACTCTACAAATACTGGATAAATCCACAAGCGAAACCCCAGGTGCAAATCTAAATATGCTGAGCAACCTGCCCATAAGGTTTAATGACTATGTCAAATCCTTTTTGAGTAACTTGCGACACAAGTTGAAAATTGCAAAAATTTTCTAAGTGAAAGGCATTAACTCTAAAAATACTAAATAAATCCAGACGAAAATACCTGGTGCACAACTGCACATGCTGATCAATATTCCTGTAAAGTTACATGACTCTAAGTCAAATACTTTTTGAGTTACGTGCGACACATGTTGAAAATTGCAAAATTTTACTAAGTCAAGGGCAATAACTCTGAAAATACTAAAAACATCCAGACGAAAATACCCAGGTGCACAACTACACATGCTGATCAAAATTCCTGTAAAGTTTCATGACTCTAGGTCAAATACTTTTTGAGTTACATGCGACACAAGTTAAAAATTGCAAAATTTTACTAAGTCAAGGGCAATAACTCTGAAAATACTAAAAATATCCAGACAAAAATACCCAGGTGCACAACAACACATGCTGATCAACATTCCTGTAAAGTTTCATGACTCTAGGTCAAATACTTTTTGAGTTACATGCGACACAAGTTGAAAATTGCAAAATTTTACTTAGTCAAGGGCAATAACTCTGAAAATACTAAAAAAATCCAGACGAAAATACCCAGGTGCACAACTACACATGCTGATCAACATTCCTGTAAAGTTTCATGACTCTAGGTCAAATACTTTTTGAGTTACGTGCGACACAAAAGTGAACGGACGGACGGACGGAGGACGGACGGATGGACGGACAGAAGGACGGACAAGGGTAAATCTAAATGCCCACCACTAACGTGGGGGCACAAAAAACCCTGAATAGTTTATTCCAATGAACAATGCATATGCACTGTATATACCGACTCTTTAGTTTATTATTTTGTGCATTTTGTGCATTCTTGTCATGTTTTTGTATAATTATTATATTAGACCTTATACCTGTTTGGTATACAACACCACGAACAGATTAGGGAATAAAGTTAACGTTAAGCAGTTTCAGTAAGAATGACGATTCATCATATTCCTTTGTATTTTGTTTTAGTTAGAAAAAACTCCACTGACGTACAAAGCCTTTAAAACGTAAAATTCAAGTTGTTAAACAGATCAGCAGGGGCACTTTAAACAATGCAATATACTAAAGATGATTAAGAAATGTGCACAGAAAAAAATGATTTAAATCGTATTTTTTGTGCTATTGTTCGTCCGATTTTCAATTTTGGGTATTTCACAATTAAAATAATTATTTTGGAGCAATGCATCTCAAGCTATTGGTCTGGAAAACAGTAATCTTAGAAAGTTATTCTAAGTCGTGTCATACAAAAAACTCAATGAAGTCCCGTTAAAAACATATTTCTTAATTTTGCTTTTGTATAGTTTTATTAAATAAGCCCATGTAATTGACCAATTGACGTTCAATATACGTTGGTTATCATGGACTTTACAAGAACTCGTGTGCTTGAAACTCACCGAGATAGATATCAAAACAATTATTCAGTTTGGTGGAGTTGCAAAAGCAGCAAAAAGCAATTCAGTAGATAATATTAATAAGAAAATACCCTTTCTCCATATTATAAACATCCTCGGCACGATGTTTGCTTGTCTTTGTTTCAGGATAGAAGAGTTTTGCCATTGCCAAGGCAGCTGGGGCACTCATTACTGAAGCTGACAATAAATGGTTTGGTGGAACCTGAAATGAAACAATAGACAGCAGCTCAACAAAAGGCATTTCAAATGAGTACAGCTCAACAATAGGCTTTTCACAAGGGTTCAACTAAGAAACAGTCATGATTATGTTCTTTCTATAATCTTACTGCAGTCTATTTGATTTAGAAAACGAGTTGTTACATGAATAGTGTACGAAAACAAACTATAACATTATTCTGTTCCTTTTTAAGCCATTTATTCCCTAATTGGCAAAGAAGAATAGTAACATTTCCAATTAGAGGGCTAATACCTGAAGTAAGGTTTATACATACACCATTAGAGGCGTTAAATTGTCAGAATTTGTATAACAGTTGAAAACTTTTCATATATTTTGACAATTAAATACACATTGTAAATTTCTATACGTTTCAACATTTCTACATTAATAATTAATAGCGCGTGAAAGAAAAATAGTTATTTACGACGTAAACTAGGATTTTGTTGTAAATACATTTTCATTAAACGTGATGATCGCTACAGTAAATACAACTGTTTTATGGTTGACTAATACATGAGACTTCGGTTAAATCCCACGTATAAAGAAATCTTAAAACATTGTAAAAAATAAAGTCATATACATGTACATGTATATACTGTTAAGTGGCTTTCACCAAACCTTGATTGTTTAGCAAATTTAAGGTATATTCATTATTTCTAAAATGAATAGGCCGTTGACAAGAACAGGAAATTTTAATAAAACTTAATTTTTGTCAGAAATAATTAACGTTAAATATGTTGATAATTCATAGTTACAGTAATGTTTAGATTTTAATTCGGTACAGTATGTACGGCGTTTAGTGTCTGAACAACCATTACTAAATTATTCGGTTAAAATGCTTGTTGGCCAGACTATATACTGGTGTCATTAAGACATGAAATTACATGATACAATAAAATAGAATAAAAAATACAATACAAATACACTGCAATGTAATACAATACAATGATACTGATATGATATGTTATGATATGATATAATATATAAAAAATAATGATTTGATCTGATATGATATGATATGTTGTAATATAATATCATATAATATGATGCAACATACGGTACGGTACAGTACAATACAGTATAATACAAAACAATACAAAACAATACAATGCAATATCCTGTTGGTTTAAAAATAAAAAGGCCATTATAAATATTAATTGCAATACAGATTTTATTTCCCTCGTACTCTAATATGCACTATAATGTGCTTAACTAATGGCTGGTTAACCAACTGTGTACTCGTCCAGAAGAATGCATATTGAACTCAACACTGTATAATAACTTTACCAAACGGTACGTTACGACAAGTAAACTTAAAAATCCTTACGTTCATAAGAATATAAGCAGCCATGACAGAGCCGGCAATGGTCGCGAACCCTCCGGTACAGACGGCGTGAATCTCTGACTTGGTCATTTCCTTAATAAATGGTCGGATCATTAGAGGTGACTCGCTCTGAAGAAAAGTAACACATAAATCAATTGTTAATCATTATCTTTAAAAGATATGGAATCAGAAAATGAAATGAGGCACTGTAAGAAAGAACAGGTGTATTCAAAACTTCATTTTATGTTCACCTCATTGATTCTTTTCAATCAAAATACTTTGTATGATTGCCTCAAAACTTTAGTCATTTGAAGACGTTGGATATACGAATATAGTTTAATATTATGGTGAACTGATTGATGTTCATTTGTAATTATTTATGTCAGAAATAAAAACAGTGTAAAAAAGTGTAAAATTTCTGTTCAAGAATCGATCAATCTATTACTTTAATATTCTAGTTTCTTCTTTATTGACAATAGAGAACGATTAATAAATAGACTGTTATCAAGTTGTATCATTAACAGTACTGTTTCTTTTACAGAATGAAAAGTACAAAGAGGCATAATTAAAGAAGAAGTATATAGTAAGCGTAGATAAAAACCCACTAAAAGCCGGTGGTGATATTTCAACTTTTTGAATTATCTGGTTTATCTTCACGAATTCGTAGTTTCAACTTCATGAATTCCCGATTACAACTTCACAAATTCACGATTTCATCTTCACAAACTCACGATTTCCACTTCACGCATTTAAGATTTCAACTTTTTGAATCCACGATCTCACCATCATGAATCTACAATTTCAACTTCATGAAGTTGAGATAGTGAAATCGTGAATTCCGTATGTTGAAAATATGAATTCACGAGTTTAAATTGTGAATTCACGAAGATGTCATCAGGAATTCATGGACTTGAAATCTCTCCACCGGTCTTTCCTAAAAAGCGAGAGTAACTGTATTTACCTGGTCACACTGAAATACAAATTTTTTCATTTTTAGGTCCCCTGCCCCCTAAGCGTAGATAAAACCCCACTAAAAGCCGGTGGTGAGATTTCAACTTTTTGAATTATCTGGTTTATCTTCACGAATTCGTAGTTTCAACTTCATGAATTCCCGATTACAAAACTTCACAATTCACGATTTCATCTTCATAAACTCACGATTTCCACTTCACGCATTTAAGATTTCAACTTTTTGAATCCACGATCTCACCATCATGAATCTACAATTTCAACTTCATGAAGATGAGATAGTGAAATCGTGAATTCCGTATGTTGAAAATATGAATTCACGAGTTTAAATTGTGAATTCACGAAGATGTCATCAGGAATTCATGGACTTGAAATCTCTCCACCGGTCTTTCCTAAAAAGCGAGAGTAACTGTATTTACCTGACCGATGAAAATATTACCAGCCGCATTAAGTGACTCGGTGGGTGAAGTACCCAAACAGAACGCCAGAAATCTTGCCAAGTGTCTGATGACGAATTGCATCACACCGAGATAATATAGAACAGATATCATGGCGCTGAAAAACACGATCACTGTAAGCACCTACAATGATAAACAATAAAAATATGTAAGAGGCAGATTCCATGTTAGATTAAAACTTTTATAATGTATTAGCTGTTTGATTAGGAAAAAGGTTATGTTAATCAATAGCATCTGATCAATTGATTTCATTAAAGAGTATTTTAATCTTATTTACAACTTTTATAGAGCGAAAATAACTTAAATAAACGTAGAAGTCAAAATTATGTTCTTATTAATTTTGGAAATGGATAAATATAAACACACTTATCAAAAACTTGTAATAACTTGTAATAATTCATTCCCTTTGATGTTGAAAGAAGAATAACTAACTTTTGACAACAACAACAACAAGAGACACATTTCACCATCAGTAGATCCATGTATTTTTCACATCAGTTTTAAATTTACATACATGAAATATTGAGTTATTCTATCATTCAAATATTTGCTTATATCAGATCGTAACTTTAAGACTTTCCAAAAGAAGATAAAGGATGAAAGCAATACAGTAACTAGTTTCTCTTACAGTTATCGTCATCTTAGGAATACATATACTATTATTAAAATACCTTGAAGGCAAAGAAATGGTGTTCATATTCGCTTCCGAACACGAATTCTGACCCGGCGTCTGTGTGTGCCAGAAACTCTCTCACCCTATCACCAAGCCATTCAAATGCCCGATACCCAAACTCCGTCCGTAAAATCAGTAATGCAAAGTAAAACTGGAGCGCTAGGCCCCAGAACACTGGCCGGAATTGAACCTGCACAAAACAATGATAATAATCAGCAACAAACTAATAAGTGATAAAAGAGTATATAATATCATTATCTCTTTATAACTGATAGGCAAATGGAAGGCAGTCCCTTTCAGAAATCTTATTTCAAAGGGTAAAGAAACAAACTAAAACAGTCTTGGTCGTTTAAGATACCATTTCTGATGCCATTTAAAAAGTGAATAAATCTATGATAATTCGTATTGTATATACACTATATAGGTCATGCTTCACTGAATAAGTTTAAAATAAATTATGCCGCCAAATCTCAAAACAAACCACTTTAAAAAAGTAAATAAGCAGAAACCTTCAAATAAGAATTTCAAAATATAATTGAGAAGAATTGATAAAACGTGCAAAATAAAATTACAATAAAGCAAACAGAGCTATAATGAAAATGGTGTCTCAAATGTTATGCACACCTTGTTGGATTTTAGTTATGTGTGAAAGATTGGAGAAAAAGAGAATCAAGGAAAATCTGCTGTACCTTTGTAGGATTTTTGGAAAACACAAAGAACACCAGGACGAAAACGAACATGCCGAATGCTGAGATAAGATTTTTCGGCCTATCAATAGCAACGTCAACTATGATGAACGCTATGAAGAATAATATTGTTCCAATGACCAAACACCAGTACAGGCTGCAATAAAAATATGTCATAATAAAAGTTATACGACTGTGTTACGTATTTTTAAGCATAGTTATAGAACGGTCTTCGATTTTAAAATTAATGAAAATAAAGTATACAGTAAACACAATGGAATTGCTAATATGTTTGAATTTGTTGGCCTAAACGTACCTAAACTTTCGCGTCAAGGTCTCGGAGCTTACCCGCATCTGCTTATCTGAGTTAGCGCTCGTTCGTCCATACTTTTCTAAGTTTGCGCTCGTTCGTCCATACTTACCTAATTTATCGCTCGTACATAAATACTTACATTGCGCTCGTATGTCCATACTTACATAAATTTGCGCTCGTATATACAACAACAACAACAACATTTTATTTGCATAAATGTTATAACAACATTATAGCCATAAAGTATATATAATGTTAACAGTGATACAAGTTCAAATATAAAAAGTACATAAAAGTTAGCACGGGAAGTATAAAAAAGAATTTAATTTCTCTGTCTATTACACGATGCAAAATAAACATATTTGCCTAAACCAATTAATTCTTTAGATGACTTTGTTAATAATAAATTTTCAATTTTTCTTAATGAAGGCCATCTACAGTAATAATGTTTTAAATATTTATTCCTAATTTCTGTGTGTTTGGGACAAACCAAAGAAAATGATATTCATTTTCGACCATTCGCATATTACAATTTGTACAAATTCTATCTTGTCTAGGTGTATTTATGTACCGACCAGTTTCTATTTTTAATCATGTGACGAGGTTCTTAGTCTGCATAAGGTTATTCTAAATTTAGCTTCTGAAATTTCATTTAAATATTTTTCACACACGAAATCATGTTTAAATAGAGAGTATGAGCACAGTTTTGGTGTGTTATTAATGCGTGAATACCACGACTGTGTAAAATTATCGTGTATACGCTGTTTAATTTGTGTCAAATTTATTATGTCAGTATTTTGGTTAAGCCACAAATCAGTCATGCCTAAATGGTTTAACATTTCTCTAATGTTGAATGCCCAATTATTTCCATTATAGGATAAATTATTTTCAGTATCATTTCGGAGCATATTGTATATTAACTTTATGATATGGTTATCGGGTGATTTTAGAATTTTTACCCAAAATTTAAGAATAATTGACTTACTTGATATACATACTTACGTTAATGTGCGCTCGTATATACATACTTACATAAATTTGCGCTCGTATATACATACTTTCATAAATTTGCGCTCGTATATACATACTTACATAAATTTGCGCTCGTATATACATACTTACATAAATTTGAGCTCGTATGTCCATACTTACGTTATTTTTTGCGATCGTATGTTTATACTTACGTTAATTTGCGCTCGTATGTTCATACTTATCTAAGTTCCATGCGTATCTTAGTTTGCGATCGTATGTCCATACTAACGTTATTTTGCGATCGTATGTCCATACTTTCGTTATTTTGCGATCGTATGTCCATACTTACGTTATTTAGCGATCGTATGTCCATACTTACGTTAGTTTGCGATCGTATGTCCATACTTACGTTAGTTTGCGATCGTATGTCCATACTTACGTTAATTTGCGATCGAATGTCCATACTAACGTTATTTTGCGATCGTATGTCCATACTTTCGTTATTTTGCGATCGTATGTCCATACTTACGTTATTTAGCGATCGTATGTCCATACTTACGTTAGTTTGCGATCGTATGTCCATACTTACGTTAGTTTGCGATCGTATGTCCATACGTACGTTATTTTGCGATCGTATGTCCATACTTACGTTATTTTGCGATCGTATATCCATACTTACGTTATTTTGCGATCGTATGTCCATAATTACTTTATTTTGGATCGTATGTCCAAACTTACGTTATTTAGCGATCGTATGTCCATACTTACGTTAGTTTGCGATCGTATGTTCATACTTACGTTATTTTGCGATCGTATGTCCATACTTACGTTAGTTTGCGATCGTATGTCCATACTTACGTTAGTTTGCGATCGTATGTCCAAACGCTTGTATGTACATATTTATATAACTTCTAGGCCTTTTACTTATCTAAGCTTGTGCGCGAAGGCTTATTCTTATCTTAAAAGCTTACGACGGAATACTCGGGGTTCATAACTTACTTCATTTTATTTCGTATAAGTACGGAAAGTACTTTATATTCGACGAATATGAGCGAAATACCAACTAAATGTATATCTAGAAATACTTACATTAGTCTTACTTTGATAAAAGTTGGATTTTGCGAATCTAAAATGGTAAATTCTCTCTCAGTCATAAACTTTCCCCATAGAACACGTCCAATAACGAACACTGTTCCCAAAATAGTAACAATAAGTAGGCGCATTGAACCTTCGTCATCGACGTCAAACGTCTTTACCATCGCATAAATGAAGTAAGCAAAGTACAGGACGGCAAGTAATATCCAAAACCCGATCCAGAACTCTGAAAAAAATCAGTGCAGAGATAAAATGAAAAACAAAATTTGTTTTTATCTTTTAAGTATTATTACTTGCATAAAAAGTCCATTCTCATATGGAAATGGAAAAGAGGTATCGAGAAAACATTACTGTTATAGACCTACGAAAGATATTAAAGTTGAGTGTCGAGTAGACTTATACTGTAGTTAACGAAATATAAAAATTGAAGACAGAAACACTGAAAAGCAAGTATTATTGTCCAGTAGGTACCACTAAGAATACTCAAGAGTGTTGCTAATATTTTAACTGTGTAATGGAATCATAGTTTGTAGAAAATGTGTCAGACCCATAAATTCACATAAGTGCTGGTATAACTTACCCAAACTTCAGTTACCTCACTGTCTGCCGGGGATAGAAATAGAGCATGCTCGTTGGCTGGCTTCATGTTTCTGGGGTTTACTTATTATGACGATGAAAAAGGGATAGTGATAGAAAAAAGACACGTTCAGATGCTGTTACATTGGTTCATTTATCCTTGGGTTTCATATTGTGACGACAGGGAAAGTGGGATGTTTGCATATGTAACAAAAGCGAAAGAACATCAAAATACTTAGTACATATAATCTGGCTATACTATAAGCCCCCACCCCGTACAAATAAGATTGGGCCTCGTGTATTCACCTGTCTTATGATCCTCATACGTCACAAAGACAGTTCGTCTTGTTACACCTATAGTACGAGTTAATTTGTTGTGGTATTCGTCATCGTCATCACTGGACTCCTCGTACTGTACTACGTCATCATCTAGATTCATGGTGTTCTCGTGGGTCTAGGCAAAGAAAATGTGTAATTAGAGGATATTCAATTCTTTTTATAATTATAGAATTTTGTTTCGTCGAGTTGTATGAAAATGAATACTTAATGAGTGTTCAATATAATAATGTTCATACCTTGAGGTTAAAATAAATCCCTAGCTTAAGCAACAAAATACTTTGATTTTCTGTTTGTTATATTTTTGTTTCTCTTTTTTTTCACATTAAGGTTCCAAAGACTTCTTATTTATTTTGTTTTTTTGGCTGAATTTAGAAGAAAGTAGTCCGACAGTGTTCCATTGAAAACACGGAAAATATATATCACTGTAGTGAAAACGTAAATTTTTGAAGTGAAAATACAGAAAATGAGAAAATGTACTAATTTCATTAATGCTTTTCAATTTTTGATATATAAGTATATAACGAGCATATCTATTGGAATTTGCTTGAGAAACAAGTTCGTGCAACTTTCAAGTCCGCATCCTTAGCTAGTCAAACGAGGAAAGATGGGCGTTGTCCAAGCAGGACACGGACCGATGATCCTCGGTTAATTGTAGAAACACAAACAACTATTTTACCTACCCCCTTTTTCGGACGAAGTCCTTGTGTTATCAATTGGACTTCTTACAAAAACAAATTGGTCATTTTAGATTTGCAAACTAAAATCAGTGAATCTCATTGGTCATTCTTAAACAAAAATGTTAAGGACAGTTCTAACCATTATAGAATAAAATTTTAAGTATAGCTCTAAAATAAAATAAAAGGGATAGTTTTTGCCACTATAAAACAAAATGTAACGGATAGTTCTAAAATAAAATGTACAAGAATGGCGATAGTTCTTTAACTTTTTGGGTAATTTGTAATTGATTACAAAATTTAAAAAGCCAAACGTAAAACAAGTTAAAGAGAAACATAAAATAGAAGTTGTTTCCTACTTTGAAAAATCATCAATAAAAATATGGTATAATTTAATTTCAAAGTTTACAAAATGCGCATTTTCTTAGCTAAAAGAAAAATAATTATTATGTCATTGTTATGCAAGCACTGCTACCATTTCTTTTAGAATTGAAAACTTAGAAATAACAAAATTTTGCATGCAAACCAGTTTTACTTCGGCCGAGTATCTTTTTCAAAGATACTTCTTGTTTACTATTTTTTATTTGTATATTGTTGTAGTAAAATAATTATAAAATTATCATCCTATTTTCGTTTGATTCAATATCAGACAGGACTTTATTCATACCATTTTCAAGAGTTTAAATAAAGAAAATAAAAAAAAAACTTTTTCTTTCGTTGTGTGGCATGTGGACGCAAGCGGCGACATATGTATAAAAACATCTCCATTGATTTTGTTTTCTGATAACTATCTTAGATACTTTAATGTTTGGGGAAGTAATTACTATGTTAAAGTTCAAATACCTTTTAACCCTACCACTTTATTTGTTAGTTTTAGGACAATTTCATTCACACAAATAATGGTTTTTGCTTGTTATGCCTCAAGCTGTAGGTGAATTCAAGAGTCGCCGATGGGTTATGAAGTACATGTACACTTTTTAAACCGTATCAATCTCTGTTTTACTTATTTTTTTTGAAGCATTTAAAATTGAATTTTCAACTTGATCTTGAACTAGATACTAAAATTCCAATATCTTTGTGTAACATTTATCTACGAATACATGTAATGCTTTTAATACACAAACATATTTTTTATTATTGAGGAGGGCAGGGGATGAATGGATGGTTTGGGTTGGGGTTTGAAACACTCATTCTTAACCAAACGATAAACAAAAAAAAAATGAAAATTATAACAAGTGATCCGAAATCTGGTTATTGGCGTCCGCGCCGAAGCGCGGCGCTCTTATGGAATGAGATCAGATTTTGTGAAAGGGCGACAGCAACTTCTCGAGCCTTTTAGTCGGTCATAATAAAAGCCGAAAATTCCGATCGGTATGAGGGTGCTTGATTATTAAATAAGAATGAAATGTCGCGATATGTTACAATGAATTTTCGCAATGCAAACATTTACAAATGAAATAACCTTTTCCGTCAATAAATCGCGCTCTTCGGGGTTTTTTATTTATCATTTTGTAGTACACAGTCGGTTATCATGTCATGGTATGTTATTGTTGTACATGTATCCTAGAATGATCAGTTTGATGACCTAAATATTCCAAAAACCTATTTTATAGATATATCTTTTTATCACTCCTATCGGTAAATGCCGGTCTCTCCGGTCTATTTTGACCAGGATTTACTAGTGACCGGCGAATAGTACCACACGTTTATTGTCCGGTCTCTCCCGGTTTTGGAGTAGATGTTTGATATCGTTACAATTAGAAAAAAACAACAATAGCATGTTTCATTTTATCTATATGAGATAAAAACAATAAATATGTACACGGATTTATATATGTAATATAAATCCGTGATATGTACAATAATTGAGAAAAAGGTACATTTTTTATGGTATTAAAATGACATTATCAACTTTGAAACATTTTATTTAATTATTCAATTTGTTATCCGTGTTTAGTAAAGATGCCGAGGAATTATTCAAAGTTACAAATTAGATTTTATGAATTATTCAATTGATCGATAATTTAAAAAATCATAAAGAAAAATACAATGTACATGTACATGGTTTAAGAATAAATAATATTATATATTGAAAGATAAACCATAATTTACTGACTTTTTCCAGTTAAGCTTTGACTTATAATCGTCGGTCAATATGACAATTGAATTCTTAAAATTTATTTTACAATTTTAATAAAAAAGAGTAGTAAAAACTCAGTATTAAAATAGCACATAAAACACAAAAAAGAATAAAAGAAAACAATATTCATAAAATTTGTATTTTTTTTAAATTAAAATTAATAGATATTACAATTATTGTATAATAAACAATTAACGCTCAACATGATCAACATGGTAATATAACCAGTGTCATTTTTTTACTAACTTAAAGTGTGAACAGATACCTTAAGGGGGTCTTCGCTAATAGCGATAACGTGTACATAATAAGGGACAAATGTGTGGTACGTGTTGATCATGCGTTACACATATGGAATATAAATGAGCCGTGTCATGACAAAACCAACATAATGGGTTTGCGACCAGCATGGATCCAGACCAGCCTGCGCATCCGCGCAGTCTGATCAAGATCCATGCTGTTCGCTTACAAACTCTATAACAAGTAGAGAAACTGATAGCGAACAGCATGGATCCTGATCAGACTGCGCGTAAGCGCAGGCTGGTCTGGATCCATGCTGGTCGCAAACCCATTATGTTGGTTTTGTCGTGACGCGGCTCAAATGATTGCATACATGTATATCCGTTGCTATTAATAACCACGATCATAAAGAAATAACAAGTATTATTATATAATCTATAAATAGCTTTGAAATGCCTTTCCCTGATTGGCTAACAAGCAACTTTTTGTAAAAAATAACAGGTCAATATCAGAGTATATTCACTGTTTTTTTTTCCCTAAAATAGATATTCAGAGTATATTCACCAGTTTTTCTTCTAAAAATAGATTTTCTGGAAATCCCTAAAAGACGCGAGACTTTGACGTGACGTCACGCCAAGTTTGTTGTTATACTTGTGAAAAAAAAAACGTTGAGTGGGGTGTAGATCTACATAAGAGTCAAACAAGTCTATTTTAGTTAACATTTTTCATTTTTAAGAACATTAGGGATTAGCATGCAAATGGAAGGGGCCAAATTATGGAAACAGTAGACAAGCTGAAAAATAATGATTTCCGTCGTATGCAATGGCAGATGTGATAAGCCATATAAAAACTATTTATAAATTATATAATAAAACAGATATGTACTTTTTAGCTGTTGAATATGATGTGATATGTACTGAAAAATTAATATTGACCTCGGCTATCGCCTCGGTCAATATTAATTTTTTCAGTACATATCACATCATATTCAACAGCTAAAAAGTCCATATTTGTATAATATTCTAATCTCTAGCATGCCAATCAAAGTTCATAATGAACAATGTCTTTCGTCCGCTCATTCATAAGTGGTATACATTTCTGGTAGTTTATAAGAATATCTTGTCATCATATGTGTACTAGTTCATCTTCACTTGCTGCATTTCTTGCTTGGACGCCCTTTGATGCTTTGCATCAATGCTTTTCTTGTGAACAGAGTTTTAATAATACGGACGATAAATAATTACAACTAAAGATTAAGCAAGTTTACTTTAAAATTCCACATCAATGAATGATTTTATAACCTTTAATATAATATCAAACAAGATTGGTTTTAAGTTTATTGAGCTATCTGTCCTTTAATTGAAACTCAGAAAATGTTTTAATCACAAGTAACGTATTCAACCGATAAAGCACGCAAATTGTCAAAACTAACCTTTCTGTGACGTAATCCATTTGACGTTGGTATATGTACGTCAATTACTTCAGTGACCGTAACATTTACGTCATCGTTGCCGACGACCGACGGAACTGATGTCACGTTTGTGTCTAATCTGTCTTGACTGCCGCCGTCGGGAACATAAGCCAGGTTTGATTTTCCATATTTGTCCGGTTCAGATATTTGACTGTATGCCGGTGGTTGGTCGTCGGATTTACTTGGTGATGTACCTCCTGGATTGTTATCAAAATGTTTTACTGATTTTAACTGAATTTCACCATCACTTCCCGACATCTTTTCTTGTCAAACTTTATCCTTTGATAGATAAACAAAAACAATGTTTAATATAAACTTATCACCAAGTAACTTTGAAACATATCGCGGCGGTCGGTGCAACTAACCACTTTCTAGTTTACAATTGACTACAAAGTTTTCCGAAAGTGGCCGACTATTAATTCCACCTGATTTCTGAATAAGCAAGGAACAACAAAAGACAATTTGATCATTTGGCAAGGAAAAAACTTCATGTCCGAGGACGAATCCGAGAGCCTTGGGTTACAACTCCGATGCTCTCCTTGGTGTGCTAAGGGGTGTTTATACAACAATGTACGTTATAATTAAATGGTGTACGAAATACATAAAATGACATTAAAACCTCAAAGTTATCACAATAAAAGGGACAAAGCGATAAAATTTGCGAACACAACAATCATTTGAACTCTATACCCGTTTACGGAATGGCTATAAAATGTATTTACAACACAAAACTTCTGGGATGTAATTATGCAGTACTTTTTAAAATAACCTTGACCCTTTTGATCAGTTCACTGTTGATATTTTTGGTTGAGAATTTAATCAGGTACTTAAAAAAAAACAAAAAAAAAAGGCTTGAAAGTAAACATTTTTCGTGAACATGAGCCTTTTTGTATTTTGTTGTTGGGTTTATTCTAGGGGTATTAAATTCAAAGAATTTCGTGGTAAAATAATTGTAATGAAAAATTATCCTAGTTTCTTACACTTGAAAAGTAACACTATACTTTAACATTGCGCCTAAACATTATTCGGGCCAGCATTTTATGTGCACAGAGCTCTCGTATTTCTTTAGGGTTTTATCAAATGCCAAGGATGTAACCGTAAAACATAAATGGCCTAGTTTAAAGACCATGACGACGGTTCTCCTTTGTAAATTACACTGTCACGATCTGTATAAATACGTCGACTTTTCTTCTTTTTTTTTAGTTTAGGGAGTTAAATTCATAATTTATTCGTCTGTTCTTCTTTTCAAAGAATGACACGTATCTTGACCTGAAAATAACATAGTTGTTGCCATATTCCCCAGCAATAACGTTCCGATTACCGATTAAGTAAAGGCTATTTATATTAATAATCAAATCTATTCTCGAACTTGACCATCAGCTGTTGACCATGCCGTCCCATTTGAGTAGTCGGAGATTCCCTGAAAGTCTGCTTGTGTTTGACTCATTAATATGTATGTAAATTAAAAATATCTAATATCTAAATGGTATATTTATATTCATACACAGTTTAGATAAGAAATCAAAAAAAGGCGTGGTCATAACAAGGAACTTAATCATAACCCTCTGTGTTATGATTATAGAACGCATACCATCCATATAAAAGTAGTTCGTACTAGTTTGGAGCCAATACAATTTCGTAAAGTTCCTGGTCAATAGAACGCGTATGTTACTTATAATTTAACATATAAGCCTCGGAAAATGACGGAATATGCCGAGTCTTTGCGATCTATTGATGGTGAATGTTTCTACCAAATATTAAGGCATTTACGTGCATATTTACGTATCTCCAGAATGCAATATTTCTGGAAAATAGTTTGAGAGGGCAAATCTTGTTTAAAACTTTACTTAAAAGAGCATTATCATTTTAAAAAAACAATGTAATTCATAATAAAAAGAACACTCCAGTTCGTTTTTTAATGTCAAAAGAAATAAATATTTACGACTGACTCGGAAAAGAATACAAATAAAAAAAGTTTCGTTGTTAACTGAATACTATTGAATAATAAAAAGCAAATGTATTACTATATATTCATCTCTTAACACTGAATCTAAGTTAGAGTTAATATTTTCGTCAATTAAATGCAAACGCACGAATACAATATGTATAATGGCATGACCCACGTTTTAAAATGCTTAATTTGTATCATGTCATGAGAAATATGACACCAACTCGTATTTGGTTTTGCTTGCTAAATATTATGCGAAAATTTAAAAAAAAAAACTGACCCAGTTATATTCAATATACAGATGTATTGCGTTTGTATCACCTCCCGTTTTTTTCTTTAACTAAGATGTTATATGCACAGTCTTAAAAATGATTTTTTTTTAGTTTCAACAAATAAGATTAAAGAGGTTATGCATGAACGTATTCAAGTAAGAAGCTTTTAAATACACCCATACTTTCAGTTGCCAACTGTGTTTAAGTTTATTATAATGAAATAACCATTCCTTTGAACGAAAAAGCAATTCGTTCAAACATAGTGATAAATTTTATGTAAATAAAACGAATTGAAATTTTGTTTAAACGAAATAATATGCATATAACAACAAAAAGTTACTACCTATACTTTCAGAAACGGTCGGTCAGAGCAATTCTTAATTTCAGTTATTCTTTAAATTCTCTGTTTCAAATTAAATGCAACGCTTCCGTTTTAAGTAGTTTTTTATGCAAGAGCCAGGGATAATAAAAGACCTAGAATAGAAAGCAAGACCATGGAAAGGAATTAATTTAATTGTTATTCTTGTTTTCCAATCCATATATCAGCCGCGTCACGACAAAACCAACATAATGGGTTTGCGACCAGCATGGATCCAGACCAGCCTGCGCATCCGCGCAGTCTGATCAGGATCCATGCTGTTCGCTATCAGTTTCTCTACTTATAATAGGGTTTGTAAGCGAACAGCATGGATCCTGATCAGACTGTGCGGATGCGCAGGCTGGTCTGGGTCCATGCTGGTCGCAAGCCCATCATGTTGGTTTTGTCGTGACACGGCTCATTTAAGTGTTATTTTTGTCTTCCAATCCATATATACATGTATATTTTGATGTAAAATGAAACATACTTGTAAATTTGCTAAATAAAATATGTTTAAACTAAGACCAGTTGACCTAGATATCTCCTTTCGTTCTATGTACACATGCGTAACCGAGAATGAAAATTGATGTAACAAACAAAAATCTCGTTGACTGAAAATTTATACCCGTAATTTGATCTGACTGAATACATACTTTATATTTCTAACTATGACATAAAATATTTATGGTACAGTAAGATGAACAATACAAATAATAAATTATTAAGTGAAAGGGGAAGCATTCCTTATTTAAGATTAAAGTTGAATGCGTAATATTACAAAATATAATAAGAATTTACACAGCGACGCGACGTTTCTATTTTATGCTAATGAACCAGCGTTTTGTTATATAATTTGCCCGCAAATGCAAAATACATGTATACAGATACTTATTCTTTTCCTAATATACGATTCGGTTAAAAGGCATGCCTAAAAGACAACTGAATAGCGTCGGTTGCAACGATATAACTTCATTAGTGTTACATAGAAAGGTTGTGCCCGCGTTTCTTTGCATTATTTTTTCAACGTATGAAATTACAAAAATCTACAGTTGGGAACTAAATTTTCGTATCGTGTGTCACTGTGTGGGACATATTTGAATTTTGAATTTTATTGATTTTATTTCCAATAGACTAATAAGCCCATGAGGACAACATATCACAAACACTATATATGACATGGCAGAGTAATGAATGATAATGATAATAATACATTTCTTTTTCAGTTAATAAAATATCATGTTTGTCTAAAATTTTAAATGTCATCTCCATATTGTAACAGTATTTATTTTCACGTTTTTTTTAAAAAAAGAACGTTTTTAGTAAGCAAATCATTCTCACTGTTATATTCATAATGTTTCAACCTGCTTTGAAAAACAATTTCTCGTATCACTGCAATCTGGAGTAGCCTTTGAATAGATTGTTTTTATTTGTTCGGTATGAAAACAAATTTATTAAATATGGACAAATTCAGTTTTCGGGTCAACATTGTCCATCTTCTAAAATGATCATTTCAATATCCTTATGATATACATGTACAACGTTCCCCTCAGTTTTAGCTTTTTGTTATATTTGATAAAAAGAGTAAATATCACAAATGAGTTTGAAGGTTAATATATTCTTTCTGCTTGTTGAATAACCAACAAAATGACGTTAAAGTCAAGCGGGATGGGCACACAGATAACCTAAAATATCAGAAAGCTATTGAATCGGAAAACCACTTTCCATTACTACTACCTCGAGATTTATGAATCAATCATTAAATGCCATATACTTTCCCAAACCCTCTTAGAATTGCACGACAAATGACAGATGATTAATGAAATAGTCTTTAAATTTATTTGAAAAAAAAATGATAATTTGAAAAAAAGGAATAGGCACTTGGTAATAAAATTAAGATTTTGTAGTGATTTTTTTGTAAAATCTATTAGAAATCAAACACAATATACGTATATGTGTCCTATGTACAATATTCATTCTATTAAGGTGTCCGTGCCTGAAACAATGAATGGAAGGACACCTCACTTCTTTCTTCCGTTAGTATAGCCTGCAAGTCGCTGTATGACAATACAGTGTTTTCTTTTCATACATTTTTAAGTGAAGGGTGTTTTTCATATATAATTCATGTTTGTATAGTCAAAGTCAGATATTTGCCGAACTGCAAATTGTCAATAATTTTTCACTTTTCCTGTTCACATTAAACGGCGTCTTTTCATCTTTACTATATGTATTGAAGGGACACCTTAACATGTCATTAACTTCGTCGTGCATGCACAAACTTTAACCCGACAGTAGCATTCGTTTTAATCGTCACTCATGAATGACAGTTCTTTATATTTTTTATCAATGACAGTTCTTTATTAATTAAGACCTTACTGGCTAAATGATCGATCAATGAATTATAATGAATTTAAGAAAAGGGTGAAAACATATTTTGCTGTGTCTGTTCTACTCTTATTTTCATTCGCATGGAAATATTAGGCTACAATATTTAAAAATATCCTTTTCTAGTCACAATAAAATGGGGAATAACAAACTTGGTGACTAAAGCTGATGGAAGGTAAGACAAATATAATGTATTACACACACAGTAATATTTATATACATGTATTGCTTAAAATATCAGTCAACCGATTCCTTAACATCTTTATCCGTATCAAAAATTGGTTTACAACCGTATTAAAATTTTCTTACCTTGACTTTTTTTGCAAAACTCAATCCAATTCTCTTCAACCAACTCTAAAATATTTCAAGTTAAAATGTTCGTTAACATAAATACGTTTCAAATCTGACCAAGTTAAGTCCACTAGATACACCAATATTACTTTTCAAGTGATGCGTTCACGCTTCACTTAATTCCAAAACACTTTAGTTTGTATATGATGTTTGTGTAGGTGAAATACCTTAAAGTTAACACGTATGAACGTCGTTGTTATTACGTTAAAACCCAGCGAAATAACCAATTAAATCGTGTAATTAAAATATGACACATATAACTATTTTTTTTTAAATATTTCATTAGATATGAATTAAAAGAGGCTTGTCTGCTTATTAATTTCATCACGGATTTATACATGTAATATAAATCCGTGATTTCATACCAGAAATTGTGGGCGTTACAAGATAAATATTTGTACCATTTTTTATAATAATTATGCAGAATTCATCATTTTGCGGTCAGGTTTACATAACCCGGCAAAAATACATAAATGATTTGAGTATGTTTGCGTGATCATCACAAGAAGCATACGTGTTCTTTTACTTTGAATTGAAATCCCATGGACCTATTACATACCTCCGTTTTACAAAACTTATATATTAAATCGTGTTAAACTATATGGGACTGGTCGTCATTAGAAAACGTATGATTTGTCACGAAGTAGTTGAAAATTCTTCTTGGTCAGGTGAAAGTAGCATTCAAAAAGCACTCAAATACAACACAAATGGTAAAACCATATTTCCCAGGAATCAATGATTTGTATGTTTCATTATAAATTACATATAGCAGAGTATAAGAATACAGCTTTTGACCTACTTTCTAAAGCTGACCGAGTTAATTTTTTTATTAAATCACAATCCAGTGCATTCGAATAATGTTTATTTGACAAGGTTTCAGGTCAATAGGTTTTCTATATGACTAACAGTGTTTAAATTCATATGACGCGTACCGTGTACCGTACTACAACTTAAAACGGATATACTTCGGCAACTTTCGTGTAATCATTCGACACATTTCGACAATATTCGTAATATTGTGGTGAATAAAGTAAAACAGTAATCTTGTCGCTGTTTTTAATTGTCAGTTTAAATTTATAAAAAAAGAACATCACGCCAATACCATGTGGTTAACAAGCCATGTCGTCATAAAAACAATCTTCCTAAAAAGAAATTTAAGAAACATATGTCGCTACCTAGATGTCCTATTATATATAATATCTGATATCTTTGTCGGGAAAGATGATATGCTATTTACAACGAAATGAGAACAGTATACCCGTATTTTAGATTACTTTAAAGACAATCGCAGTTGCGCTCTCTAAATTATTATATCTGAGTCACTGGGCCAAGGCTTAGATAGAAATAAAAACAAACAAAAAAGCGTATATGTTTTGTAACTGCGCCGATTTCAGCACTTTTTTGGTCGGATCATCTAACACACGGTGCATATCCATATCGGTACCCTCTTTGCGAAATCTGCTGAAACGATACCCTATTTGCACATGCACAGGTCATTCTCTGCTAAAAACAAACCAACGATGGATAACAATCCAGTAAAATTTCATTGTAATAAGGACAGGAGGTATGACACTTAGAAAACATGTATACCACGGAACACTAGAATGTTTAATTTATGTGCAGATTTGTCATGTGCCCGTTTTTCATGTATTGCAACTTCACAATAAGCTACAAAAAAACCGACATGTCTTGCCTCGTCCATCACCTCGACATACTTTTCGGGCTGTAATGAACCTGTGGCTTGATTAAATATGCATCATACATATTTAATATGTTCATTTACATATCATCTTCGGACAAATGGCAGTATATATTGTCAAAAATAAATGTAAAATTCATAAAAACACCCTACTTTCGGTTTTGAAGCGGCACGGGCTACCTCTCTTCATTTGAATTTTTATATCACAGGTACCCTCTCATTTTTTTAACACATAAGTACCCTCAAAGCACGACATATGCTTTTATTTGCGTTAATGGTTAAGTATGTAATATTTACATACAAGTAAGAAAATTAATATTACATACTTAACGATTAACGCAAATAAAAACATATGTCGTGCCTTGAGGGTACCCATGTGTTAAAAAATGAGAGGGTACCTGTGATATAAAAATTCACTCAGCCTCACAATGTTGAAATTTTGTGCCAAGTTATATTAAAATCCCTTTATGCGTGTAGTAGTTTTTCAACGATCTTAGTGTGACATTGACCTTTGACTTTGACACCTGGTTCATGCGTAGGGCATTACGTCTTACAATTCTGTAAAGTAACATTTACATTCCTCCTTATCTGTAGGCTCTGGAAAATATCTGCATATTTAATCATCCTTGTGACCTTGACCTTGCAAATGTTAACCTAAATTACATGTATCACAGCCGTAGTAATGAAAGTTACCATTTGTGTTGCAATCCATCAATAAGTGATGACTGAATGGTCCCTATACACATCCTCATATTTTATCTGAACTTTGATATCTATGTGTCACCTGGGCATTAAATTTTGGCGCGAAACTCCGCCTTAAAATTGTTAACATATTATGCCAAGTTATATTACTTGTAAAATCATTCCATAAATGTAAAAGATTTGCTCCGGACAATCGTTTTTGAATTGTGTGCCGGATAATGCAGGGAGCAATACGTCTTATGGTTGTAAACAGTTGTATAGAGCATTATAAACATTCTTCAGTGCATGTACATGTAGTATATATGCTCCAGACAATACCTGGATATTTCATTACCTTGAGTGACTTTGACCATGCATAATTATATTGACCTTTGTTACATGTGTCACAGCCGTAGTCATGACAATTGCCATTTGTGTTACAAAAAATGACTGAAATCATCCATATACAAGTCTTTATAATTTTATCTGAACTTTGACCTGTATGTATGACATTAATCTTAGCTGCATGAATCTGAATTTAGCTCGCGACATTTTGCCTTACAATGATAAACATTTGCGCCAAGTTGTATTGAAATCCTTCGTAGCAGCTTTGCTCCGGAAAACCTTTAATATATAAACTTGTTTTATTTGCGGAACACGGCTACCATATTGTAAAGATTTCTATGAAATTTCATTAAAATTCCTCCATGCGTGTAGGAGATATGCTCCGGACAAAATTGAACACCGCCCGACCGAAGCTCCACAACCCGCTCGCCAGGGGCGTTCCAATAATACGTCCCGTTTTTCGAACGGGTGTGTAATGAAAAGGAAATAAACACTAGAAAAATATCTGTTTTCCTTTTTTATGTCTGCTCAATTTCAAAAACTGGAGTAAAATCTTAAATAACTTGCTATTGTAAAGATAACATCTGACAACTAAATCAAAAAATAAATTACTGCAAAACATTGTACTTGAGACATTTGTTTAACTTTACTTGTACCTGGAAGCAATAAACAAATGTCACATTTTCAAAAGGATTGAAATATTGGCAATACTGAGATGTCAAGCTTGCTTAAATTGACGGCGCCCCACTGACGTCAAAACGCATAGAAACATAAAAATTGAAATTCTTAAATAGATCAACTGGGGCACTTAAATGGGAAATTATACAAACGATAAAAGAAAAATATACGCAAACTTACATCAAAAATCAGTTTTCATGCGAATTCTGTCACGTTTTGAATAAAATGCGTTTTTACGCTTTTCATTTTTTTTTGTTGTTGTCATTTTGCACAATTAAAATGGTTTCACTGCAAATAGGGAGTAAACAAATGATCTGAAAGTTTGGTTTAAACATATTTATTTAAGCTCAATTGCGAAGCAAGTTCTTGCAAATTACATTAACACTTTCGAGTCCGCTTCCTGGAACCAACCAGTACTGTCGTCATATGAAGAAACATTGTCGTAACCCTATTAGGGATCGAACCAATGATCCCTGGGTTGAGAGGCAGAAACTTTAACCACAAGTCAACCGCTCCTCTGAAGTTTTAATCTAGATCAATATTGAAATAATACAAATGTGCCCTGTTATGTCGAAAAACACCAGACAAATCCCTTTAACAAATAATTATTAATAACAGAAAAGCTCAAGATGTCTTCTTTTTCCGTATTTTCACTGTAAAAAATATTTTTCACTGTGGTGATACATATTTTCCGTATTTTCACTGATGTATTGCCGGACTACTTTCTTCTAAATTAAGCCGATACACAAAATGTTTGGGGAAGTCTTTCAAATTGTAATGTCAAAAAAGAGAAAAATGTATATAATAAACAGAATGTTCAAGTTTTTGGATCTATTGCCACTCATGAAATATTTATTTTCATACTATCCGATGAAAATAAATACTGTATAGATTAAAAAAAACTTGAATATCCTCTATATATGCTCTACGGTGTTCTATATAGTTTCCAGTGGGTATTATCTATCATGTGTGCGTCTGACAAGAATAATTTACCATTATTATGTGCGTGAACATTGTATATTTAAGTATAATTATGATATAAAGAAGTATGTTAGTGTTTGGACTGATGATAGTCGTAATATTGTTCATGTGTTCATTAATGTTATAGCAAACACAACTCATATTAAGGCTATTAAGTCAAAGTAATAAGTGAAATAAAATCCATATACTTCTGATATACTATCGTTTGTCAGCTGTTACTCAATCGCTACTTTGTTGTTACTAATCGTTTATTTTGAAGCGAACGACTCACTGGCGACCTGTCAACGACCGCTGAAAGGGTCTCAAGTGTACAAAACGTGTGACTAAAGTGAAACAAACGTCCTTTGGTGTTCATTGAGCGTCATTGAGCGTCATTCGACCGTTTCATAAACGCCCATGCATATGTTAATTTAAGCAAGATTCATTTGATTTTGGCCTACCGTAGAGAACATCTACAATGAATGATCCTGAAAGATTTAGGATATATACGATTGCTATAGCTAAGCATCAAAATATAGCTGAGGTAATTCAACCGCAGTGAAGAAGACACCACCGGAGACGACTACAGTGGTGGACTAAATCATGAATATACAAATGTAAAGGTTTGGCAGTAGCTAGTAGGAGAAGCTCTCGTCTTGGCGTCATGATGCTGACTATTCAAACTCACAAGAATAACTAAATTAACTATGGAATTTACAGCTTTTTGTACCTGTTCGGCCGTAAAAAGCTACGCTATTCTGTCGTTATTCACACGCTAAACACACGCTAACAACGCTCGTCTGGCGTTTACAAGTAGTTCGTCTCGCGCCAGTGGCACGTTAGCACACGCTTATGGGTATTAGGAGGTAACTTACTTGGTCAATGTTAAACGCATTTCGTGCGTTAGACACACGCTAGTTATGCCTTAAATAAACGTTAATCACGCATGAGATGTGCCAACTTAATTCTAGAACGCTCAAAAATTGAAAGATTGAAACGTTCCTGAACGTCATGGTGTGACGGACCCATAAAACAAACAAATATCAACTACTTATTGAGCTCAATCGTAATTTTTGTCTTTAAGCATCTGTAAATAAAACGAAAACGTGAATTTGCCATTTAGAGTCGCTTTGTTTGATAAAATGAGACAAATTAGATAGTAAACTTAGGGTTTTACAGGAAAAAAGCTTGGGATAAAGAAAGAATGAATCAATATGATAAAAAATCAGTAAACACAACAGAGTATTTATACAGACGTTTAAATATCCGAGACATGTCATAATTCCTTGCCAACTTATATAAAACATGTATTTAATTTACATTGTCTCGCATTTATATGCGTAATTATGTCTAATAAAAATGCATACTAAGCCTTTTTACTAATTCTAGAGATATAACATTGAAGATCAAGGTTCAATGTCATATGCATTATGATAGTGAAGTTCATACATCAGAATGCATACATACTTATCATATTAAAATAATTGTAACCAAGGTTAAAATCCACCATTCAAGACAGATAACAACAAAAAACAATGATAGAGGACAATAACGAACACATATACATACCAGTTTGACTCATTTATAACCTCTTGGGCTCGTGCAATTCATTGCCCAGCTTTGCATTTGGAATAGTCCATTCAAAATACAAGGAATTTCAATACCGAAATTTATACAATAATTGAGCTACCAACTGTACACAGCCAGGTCAGACTGTAAGTATGTAGACCAGCCTGGCTCTATAATGATGGCTTAGACTAGTTGTACTTTTGCTTCACGCGGGAAAATGGAAGGTTAACAATCCTTGATTTTCTTAATTAATATCATATAAGCAAGGCGTGTGAACTGTTTGAGTTTTTCTTTGGATAAGAACATAAAGATGAACATTATACAATAAATATTGTTTCATATGACTTTAGTTGTTGTTTTAGTTTAAACACACTCATTGGAAACCTAGTGTCATTAAAATCCGAAAATTTCTTTGAATCACGGTTGAGTTCTCTTTCTCGTACATTTAAACAGTTAAAAAGTTATAATGTATAATCTTAAAGGCATAACATTGAAAAGTTTAACATCTTTTTTCTTCTATTTCTTAAATTTATTAAATCGTGTCAAATATATAGTAAGAAAAATAATGGGTCGTACCTTTGCTTAAATCCGAACAGTTCCTGTTAATTTTATGTGTTCACGGCGACACAATGCATCTAATAACTTATTTTAAAGAACTGTTAATTTGGGAGAATAAAAATGCTAACAAAACAGTTTGGTTTATCGTAGCAAACGATGTGTCTTAATGCACGGAATGCACCTGACTTCGATAAGGGATATTTGTAAAAATAAACGAGAAAACCAACATAATTAAAGTTGTTAGGTTATCTTTAAAATGTTTTGGGTTTCAAGAATACGTGCAAGTTTGTTTTTATGCATATTTCCTGGGTGACAATAAATTATACACTGGTTGTTGAAAAACAAATATTCAAACAATTGCCCGAGTATTGTCATATAAATTTTCGGGGGAGTTTGGTCGGGAAAGGGGATGGTTGCGTGAGAAAAAGCAAGGAGTTGAAGACTCAAAAACATGTTTAAGTTCATACATGTAGTTTCAACATGCCGTGTAAATATCGCATAACAGTGCTGTCGCATCAACGTTGACAACTTGATTAACACTTTTGCAACATTAACAAAAGTAAAGGGCAGGAATACATGTATATGTTATGTCAACGCAAATCTAAAATGGACAATCACACCAATCTAAAAATGTACAGTCACACCAATCTAAAAATGTACAGTCAGATCAATCTAGAAATGTACAGTCACACCAATCTAGAAATGTACAGTCAGATCCATCTGGAAATTTACTAATCACACTAATCTAGAAATGTACAATCAGATCAATCTAGAAATATACCGTCATATCAATCTAGAAATGTACAGTCACACCAATGTAGAAATGTACAGTCACACCAATGTAGAAATGTACAGTCACACCAATCTAGAAATATACATTCACACCAATGTAGAAATGTACAGTCACACCAATCTAGAAATGTATAGTCACACCAATCCAGAAATGTACAGTCACACCAATCTAGAAATGTACAGTCAAACCAATCTAGAAATGTACAGTCAGACTAATCTAGAAATCTAAGGTCAGACTTATCTAGAAATGTACAGTCAGATCAATCTAGAAATGTACCGTCAGACTAATCTAGAAACGTACCGTCACACTTAACACACTAGACATGTACCGTCAGATAAATCTAGAAATGTACAACCAGATCAATCTATAAATGTACAATCACACCAAGTTAGAAATTTACAGTCAGATCAATCTAGAAATATACCGTCAGACTAATTTAGAAATGAATAATCAGATCAATTTAGAAATGTACAATCACGTCAATTTAGAAATGTACAGTCAGACTTGTCTAGTAGTTGCAGCATTTTGAAAAGAATTGTTGAAGTTTTGTTTAGATTTTTTGTTTTATTTTATTTGACTTTAACCTTTTCCCTTGATTATTAAATAAACATGAAATATATGATGTATTTAATTGAAAATAACGACGCTGGGAAAGGATGTGGGTATTAGTCACCTGTAAATTGTAGCAATGATAGTAGTTTGAATTTCTTAATAAGGATTTCGTTCTTCATTGCCTATACATTCCTTCATTTTACATTCATCGCTGCTTCTTGCCAACACAATAATAGATAAAAATGTACTCAAATAATTGCAGATGACTAAAAGGAGGACTTTGCTTTGTTGCCAATGAATAACAGAAGCATAACACTAAAAGTAAAAATAATTTTGGTAAATAAAAGTTATAGCATTTTAAGCTGATTGGACCTTTAATTTAAATACAGCTTTTTTCAAATGATAAGCATATTGCGTTCTCTAATTCCATTATTAAAATGTCATACAAAATAAGTTTGTCTGTTTTAGAGCAAATACTCTATTCACTTATGAGGCTTAATGTGCTGTTAAAGTAATAACAATTGGATTATTTCAAAGCAGACCAGGTCCCAAAGATATAAAACCTTTTCCTGAGATCAACCTCAAATCTCGGGATTTTCATTGGTCAATTCACATTTTATGCCTGTTCCTGAGAAATCGGATACCTGAGATTTGAGTTTGAGATTAGAATATTTCTTTATAACCTTCGCCCCTGGTCGGATATAACTAAACAACAGGGAAATGCTTAATATTTTGTCGGGTTATACATTTTTTGTTGATGCATTGACCTTGTTTTACATATCAGATAAAAAAAGGTTTAGGGGTACTATCAAACTAGCTTTTGTTTTATTATTCTCTTGAGAAGCTATTGAGAGTATTTGATTTCATATCAAGATGTTTACAATGTCTAGGGACTATGTGTATTGACATCAAAACCATGTTTTATTGCATATTTCTCAGCAATACTAACTTCGAGAATAACCAGTTACTATTACAACTTTAACTTTAAAACAGTTGTTCCATCGTATGTTAAACATACAATTCGTATATTATGTTTACGAAAGACCGGGTGATGAATTTATTTCTTGAATTCGTTTAGTTAATCTTTAATTCTGTAGCCGCGCGTGACAAAAACCACAATATTAGGTTTGCACACAAGCATGGATACCAGAAACCACTTCGCACTATAGCAAAAATGGATCCTGGTTACAGAACTCGGATGACGCAAGCTGGTCGTGTATCATTGCTGTGGTCGCAAACCCATTATGTTGGTTTTGTCGTGAATTCTCGAAGTTGAAATCGTGAAATTCAAAAAGTGAATTCATGAAGTTGAAATCGTGAATTCGTGAAATTAAAATTGTGAATTCAAGAGGTTGAAATGTCCCGACTGGTCTTTCCTATATTTTTTGTTAAACATCATCTGACGATATATATCAAAACAACTGATTTCGTACTGCGCGGTACTTGATTTTGTAAACATGTTACTGCACAAGGACTACCGTTGTAAAAGATTCAAAGTATAAAGGATGCATCAATTACTCACCCGCTCACGAAAACTCACGAACCAATGTAGGTTCGTATTTTTACGGGAGCAGGCAGGTTTTTTTCACTTATTTATTTATAAAATATGAAAAATGATTTACTCTGACTGATATATTAACATATATAGCTGCATGTAACAATTTCCCGCTACTATTACATGTACCAATTAAAGTTGAAGAAATGTAATAAGATTTTAAGAAAAGTCTAAGATTCAATTAATAATCCACATGGTTTGTGCGATTAACATATTTGTACGACGAGAAACGCAGATAGGGCTTTTTTGCGTAGTTTTAATCTCTTTCTAGTAATTTTCGTAACTTGTATATGTCAATTACTTTCTTTGCCCACTTTAAAATTATACTTTACTTTTAAATAAATATGAAAGTGAAGGCACGCTGATTTAACAAACTCATATCCGGGACAATATTTAAACAACCTCATTTTAAGTTATCTTTAAAATAGCTTATCAATTCTGCTGTTATAAACGAGTTTTTTGGCTTTACAATTGCCCGTAATTGCAATTTATTGTTATGAAAACTACTTTTGGACAGGAAATACAATTCTTATTCAAACATCTAAGAATGATATAAATACATCTGCTTTATCTCATACTACCTCTGGAAATGGTTTTAAAAAAACCTTGCATTCATTATAAAAATGATATTTGTAGCGAACTTTTGAGCGGTAAGGTACAAATAGGCTAATCTTTTTCTTAAATAATACATTTAATTCAGTGCTATAAATTATAGCAAATAAATGATAAAGTCATATCAATACCTTGAGAAAAATAAACATTAAAATAAATATAAATAAAGTTTATGCTTACAAATTGAGAATATTAAACATCTTATTCGCTCCCTAATTATCATTTAACTAAACCGACACACAAACTTTAATTGGCTTAACTTGTGTATATATTATTATTTCTTTATAAATGCAGTACTATATTTCAAACTCAAATATCTTAATGCTGTTCAACCGTTTCGTTTTATTACCGATAAGGGAAAGAACTTCGTACTAAAAGTGTAAATTCGTATTACAAAAGTTATCTGCCATCGTGAATTATAATAGCTTGGTTGGAATGTTACGCGTTTTTTTTCCGATAGAAATAATACATGTTATACATTATGCTTTATTATACGCGTGTAGTGGTTTGGTATGTAGTGTTTCTATTAGAGCACTGATATTAAATTAATGTCATAGATAGTTGGATGAGTACACAAATATAAAAATACGTTTTTTTTCATGGATTGGATATTAATAACTTGTAAAAAGCTATCTTGTATTGTTCTATAACAGTCAATACTCGCAGCATTGATTTGTGATAACTCGGTTAAACAACATATCGATATAGGTTACTATACCAAGGCGAATTTGAAGCATTTTTCGTTCCGGTGTGTGAGTTAGAATATCACGGAACTGTATCTGGGTCATACCTGTGACTGTACTAATTGATTCATACTAGTCATTTGGTTTTTCCATAGCTCAGGACGTGATTTACCTCTTTTTGGTTTATCCATAGCTCAGGACGTGACTTGTCTCCATTATCAGATAATGTAAGCATTTTATTGATAAAATAAAACTTATAACATAGGAAGATGTATATTGTGAATTTAAATCATGTTGTTAATTGCGGTGCTAATATATACCAAACAAATAGCATTACACAGTTTAGTAGTTAAAATCATAATTCGTCCAGAGAGAACATTTAAAGAACTTTGAAATACTGCAATCCTATTGGACAAAAAATAATTACAGGTTTGAAATAATTGATACTGACTAGCAAACACCTACGCTTGACGATCAATATTGCAAAGATTTTAGATTATGTTATCAAATAAGAAAACCATTATTTTAAGCTAGATTTAAAGAAGAAAAAACACATTTCATGAGGTAAAAACGAAGTGTATTGAATGCGAATCTTTTTGTTGTATGTACAAACATTAACTCACTTTATCGATATTTGTTTCTTTCTTTCTCTTTGTTTGTTTGTTTCTTTCTTTCTTTCTTTCTCTTTGATTGTTTGTTTGTTTGTGTTTTTTTCTTTCTTTCTGTTTTTCTTTCTCTCATTCTTCCTTCCTTTCTTTCTTTCTTTCTTTGTTTTTCTTTCTTTCTTTTCTTTCTTTCTTTCTTTCTTACTCACTTTCTTTCTTTCTTTCTTTCTTGCTTTCTTGCTTTCTTTCTTTCTTTCTTACTCTCCTATGCAAACATAATCAATAATCCCTGTGACTTACTGACATTTCTATAAATACTGTTCGGAATAAATCTGTAAACGTTCCATTTGTAAAAAGTGTAATGCAGTGTTTCATAATTTAGGTAGTTTTTTTCTTTAAATTGTATCCTCAACATTTTTCATCATCAATTATTGGTCAATTATTATGGTCAATGTCTTGAACTACATTACTAATGCACCTCAGCTTGACAGCGAAAAAATGAGCATTATGTCACTTTAAAATATCTTCAAAATGGTACTTATTTGCCTTTAAAGCAAAAAGTATATAGTGTGGACTTAAAGTTTATTTATTTTAAAGTAGTCGATGATCTCTTTGAAATCTTTTTCTTTTGAAGAGAAAAACAAATGGAGGCCGACACTGCAAACCAACAGGAAATGGCGCTTACAAGCAATATACCTTCAGAGACAGGAAGAAAAAATACTGTAAAAAGAAGTGTTAGCCGAATGGCAGGCTTTTGGTTTTGGTCAAACTTTACCGCTTTCGTTTCGTTAACGATTGGGTGCTTTGCTCCTGGATGGTTAACTTATGGAGATATTGACTACTCTCTTTGGTATTTCACACACTGTGACACAACGCATGATGACATCTACTACTCCTTTTCATCTCCTATTAAGTGTGAGACCATGTCGTATCGTCAGATTCGTGGGTCTACGAGAGTACACAAAGGTATATTCACTTATCTTAAACCATGCATCTTCTTAAAGAGGGAATCCAATGACGTTGTTAACGAGACTGGAATTAATGTTCCATTTGATGAAGGTCTAGACTACAAACTTGTGCATACAATTTCAATCATTTGCTCACTCCGTTTGTCCGAAATAATAATTCTGATTGTGAAAAATTAACCAAAATTGAAAAGCGTTGCAATTCAAATCGTGCTAAGAATAACTCAAAAATACGATTTTCAATATTTTACTGGGTATGTTTTTAAATAATCTTTAGCAAATCTTTCTGTTTTAAGTGCCCTACCTGATCAATGTAAGAAATTCAAATTTTGTTTTGAGACTTTTGGATTAGTGGAGTTACTTTAAATTTTACATTCTCGAAGCAACATGGTGCCTACATATACCAATATATTTAAAAGCTATTTTAGTAACGAAAAAAAAATGTTTTGACAACAAATATTTCGATGTTTCATAACAAAATTTTTAAGAAAACTAATTATTTTAGTAATTTAATATAGATTAAGTTTTTTTTTGAACATTTTGCACCGGAATCTTTATTGTTTGATATGGTTATGGAACAATTTAGTTGTTACATATGTTGTATATTAATTTGCCTAGAAAAAGTCAAGTTTCTTTTAAAAACTTTGTTAATAACAAATCTTCACTAACGTTTTAACACTTGTTGCAGGATTTAAAAATTTAAATAAATTTTATTTAGTTTAATTATATGTTTATTGTCAGGGAAAACTGACAAAAAGGTGTGCATTGCGATAAGTTTTGTATTTATTTTGCTTCTATCGTCCTCTCCGCTGTAAAGTCTTGACATTTTCATAAATGAAATTAATTTCTCTATTTATTTTGTCTAGTTCTTGATAAAGCAGACTTTACACAAGCGGAAGCCCTATATTGCACCGGAATGATTTTGTCTTTTGCTACATTGATAAAATTTTACCAACACAGACAGAAAGTTGCCAGGGGCATAAGTGATGAATTTCGTTTAAGAAAATGGGCTTTTCTTCTAATTTTGTCAAGCCTCTCAGGTATGCTGTTTTGTTATGCTAAAAGCCGCTTTCACTTATTTTTGTCTTTTATATTAATCATAGAATCTCATCCTGTTTGATGACGTCAGTATTTGAGCCGCGTCACGACAAAACCAACATAGTCGGTTTGCGACCAGCATTGATCCAGACCAGCCTGCGCATCCGCGCAGTCTGATCAGGATCCATGCTGTTCGCTGTCAGTTTCTCCACTTGTAATAGAGTTGATAAGCGAACAGCATGGATCCTGATCAGACTGTGCGGATGCGCAGGCTGGTCTGGATCCATGCTGGTCGCAAACCCATTATGTTGGTTTTGTCATGACGCGGCTCATATATAGTTTCATGATAATTTTTAAATTGATGCTAGTGATTTGTTCAATCAAAACGAAATTATGCCAACTAAACGTACATGAACTATGCAACAGTAGATCATCTCACATCAAAGTGAGAAAGTTTACACACTTTCACTCGCATTGGACCATCGTTAGCAATATTGTTACTATCTTGCGCTTTCAAGCAAGTTATAATTTTCTCGGTTTACAGTCGAATGAATAACATTATGATAGCATAATCATTCAAAACAAAAACGTATTCCCCAATTCATGTACATTTAAAGGCATATGTACTTCCAAAGTATTAAATGTATCTTTTTATTTCATTTCAGCTGTACTTGTTTTTCTTCCCGTCGGAATGTTTAATGGGGGGAATGGAGGTACTCTGCCGTCTGTAACCCTGTTCAGTGGAATAGTTCTTGCTGGATTTGGTGGGGCAGTGATGGTATTGACTGCTACGTCAATGCTTTTATGTTGTCCAGCTCTTCCCTGCAGTGTCTATAAGTGTGATGATACAAATGAGCCTGTGTAATAACATGAACAATATAAACAACCTTCGTGTAGTGTAAGCAGCAATCCCGCCGACTGTGTCTTTAACAGCATGAGGTCTTCATTCACAAACGTGAAAGAGCGGGGTCTGAAGCTTATTTGACTGTAAGATATTTGTAGCTATGATCATCATCTGCCACTCATCATCGTCACATATATCTCTCCTTTGCACTCAATCTAATTTCATACGTTTTATGTTAAAAACATCGTAGAGATTTTAATTATTTTTTTAATTGAAAGTACGATATTGCAAGTGTAGGCAAGAATTGATGTAGACATGCATTACATGAAAGTAGAGAACCTTAATATGCAGGAAAATGTTGATTAAGATTTATGTCTGATACATAAATTAGTTTAATAAAGGTTTTTTTATACTTTTTGTAAAGTACCACATTGGGAACCATTAAAAGAATTCTCTTCATTTGAAAGCGTGGAAATTATATGTTGATGTTTTCGCTGTGTAATTATCAAACAATTAAACGCCAAAAGTCTAACTAATGTAAAGGTTTTTGCAATGGTTATCCTGTATTTCGACTTGTTCTTCTACATTATCTTCTTAATTTAGCTTCAAATTTAACATAATACGGAAAGGCATCAAGGTTGTGCAAAATATATTTCCTTATTTCGTTCACGTTTCTTTTGGGTTCATCAAACACAGTTATCTCGTAATGTTATACTAGCATTTAAAAATAAGTTACCACTTATCTCGTTTTGCTCAGGCTATCGACCCATTCAAACAGCACACACAACCGCTAAACGTCTCTTTAGAAACTGTTTTGTCACTATGGCTTCCTAAGTCGGTTCCATAGTAACAGAGTTTTAAAAGCTAAGTTATCCTGAAAAAAGAAGTGAAAGTTGACCAATAACAACTTATATATCAAAAAGCCTATATTTAGCCTTATATATAAAAAAGGCACGCGTAGTGTTTGTCACAAACCCTACTGATAATTGTTTATTCGGAATGTCAAAGGCACTCTAGGCGGACGAATCATTTATTAGGCGGATGCTGCTTCTGTGCGAGTATTATTATCACGATGCAGTCATCACGTGACATAACCCGGAAGTAATAACATGCATCGTATTGAATTTTGACGATAAAAATAACCTTGAACTATTTTAATCTTACCTGAGCACATGCTATGAAATTGAGGAGTTAAATTACTTTTTTTAAAACTCGTTGATTTTTGCTTTGTATTTGTACTTTGATTAAACTAAGATTTCGGACGTTTTTCTTTGTCAGGTATGTAAATTAATTACGTATCATCATTTATGTAGTTTAAAATACACAGGTTAAATATAAACAAGCATGCCAGTATTGTAAAATTGTGGTGTGTACGTGCAATATTGTTGTTTGTTGTAAATTGTAGCTATACGTGTTGGTGATAAAATATCAAACATAGGGGTTATCACAAACGTTTGTTAAATAAATGAAAATATTTATCCAATGTCAGAATTTATTACTCTAAACACTTAATAAATTTGTAAGGTTAGAACTCCCAAAGGAACTTGAAGGTGTGTTTAGAGTTTTTTCGTTGTAGATTTTGAAAATGGTGCACATATATAAAATGTTCTTATGCTACATGTAGCAATAAAAAATCTATTAAACCAAAGTAAAAGTTCTTTTTTTTCACACGATCTGAAATCATATAAAATTCTTTATTCCCAGAGGTACCGATTGATCTTGGTACGCTATAAACACTGATTTGTATCATAGTTTGGAGACCTTTCTGTTGAAAATGTGTCAGAGTTAACATCGTATACATATACATGCACAGTGCGTTATCTAGAGTGCAGGTATTAGTTACCCGTACTCCAGAGTATGCCCATGGATTGGTTCATTTTTGCTGGGGTTTACTTATTGTGACGACAGAGAAAGGGGGAGCGATAGAAATATCATATTCAGATGCTCGTTCATTGGTTACTTTTTCTAGGGTTTCATATTGTGACATCAGGGAACGTGTTTTTATGTTTGACTATGATACAAAAGAGAAAGAACATCAAAACACTCGGCAATCTGATAAATACTCGGGGGCTACGACCCCTCATACAAATGAGATAGCCGCGTGTTTCGATGCTCTTCTATTACTAATTCTGCTATTAAATTCAGTATTAAACGTTTTTATTATGCTTAGTATTTATGGTTCAAACTTGACCGAGTATATCCGTGCTTTATTCGGATATACTCGTGATACATTCGAGTCCACCGGCACGGTTGGAGCTCAGTACTCGTACCAGTCAACCCGTGTATCAACGAGTATACCGTATGGGAACCGTGTGTCCAACCGTGTTCTGTGTGCCACAGGTTTAATTAGAATATATATAATTATGACAGATATCTTTGGGAATGTTATGTATATAAAGTCAATAGCGGCTTCAAACTATGTGCCCGTTGAAATTTCTTTATAAACACCACCATATTGCCAAATATAATTGAACCGTTATCTAAATGGTAGTTTATTTCATGAAAATTTTCGAAAATTCTTTGTCAATTAAGTGTTTTTAATTCAGTATAAGACGATCATCATGCTTGGAGAATTAAAAATGCATTAAATATCAGCATTTGCTTGTAAACATGTTCAATATTAATATGTTTGAATATGTCCCAGTGTAAGTACACCCAAATGTTGCCAAAAGTGTAAGTACACCTAAAGATGTGCCAAAGTAATTCTGACAACTCAAGATTACGCATGTCTATTCTTTGGAAATTCTAAACAGCTAAGAAGTGTAGTATGACCCAATGTCTTTAGATGATCTCGAAGGCCGTCCCTGAACATCTTTTTCACATATACGGAGTTATAATACATATAAATATATGTTCATCTGTGATAAGATATGTTCCTGAGTAAGTGAATTAGGTAATAGGACAGTTTTATTTTCAAATGTTTAAAACATAGGTGTATCTTTATCAATAATTATTGGTAATTAAAATTAATAACGTTCTAAAAATATACATCACTTTGTGATATGACAATTTTACAATTTACTTTAAAAAAAATCACGTTGATTTCAGAGGTATTTCATAATAATGAAACATGTAGCACGATACAAAAAAGAAATAATAAATGTCAGTTTATTAACACTTTGACAATGATATTTTACGAGAAGCGGTCATTGGTAACACAATTGTAATGTAATCAAATTTAATAGATTTAAAATGAACCATCTTTATCACTCTCTTATACTGCGACATGACTAGAAGAGATTTGCTCTTAACATTATCAAAGCACACTCTATTGAGTTGAGAAAATGAATATATACACTATTATAGAAGTCAGGTCAAACTACAATTTTCGTTCTGAAAAAATGATTTTAAATATAGAAATTATAAAAATCAACCTTGATTTTTAAAAGTTTACAATAGTTGCACCGGAAAACGCACACTTGATTTGAATGGAGGCATCGATGATACTTAAGGTGTACATTCACGAGGCATGATATTGTCTGCCATCAAACTCATATATGAGCCGCATGTGATATCAAATCACGACCGTTTTAAAGATAAATTTGAATAGATGTATTTGCATCACATAAACACAAACATTCGAGTAATCAGTGTGTGTAACTCGGTAAAGAAATCAAAATTATTAAACCGAAACAAATAGTCAAAATTTTCCAACAAACAACCTTAATTTAGTAACTTCAGTACCTTATTTCTCTGCGGCGGCCCTTGATGAGAATGTAAGTTGGTTGATTTCTCGGAGGTAGGGCATAAATACAGCCATTGCTTCGTATCACATTCCCTAATTCTTTTAAATGACCGGTGAAGATCTGCGTTACATGTTTAAGACTCATCTGACACACCATAAGTAGTGTTGTATGTGATTGAGCTCGGAATCGCACATGCAAGCTTTTATAACTACATCAGTGCGTTACCAATGGACCGCGGATCCGGATTGATCAAAAAGTTCTTGGCAAGATGTACTTCCGGTTGTCAGAAAACCCACCTAATGGTCTTACTTTTCAATATAATCGCCCTCTACACCAATGCACTTTGCCAGCCTGTGTTCCAACTTGTTTAAATCTTCAAAGTAGAACTCTCTATTTTGGTCCTTTAAAGAACTCATTGGCCGTCTCCGTGACACCTTCATTGCTTCCAAAACATCTACCACGTAGCCTGGTTTTCAGTTTCGGAAACAGATAGTCAGTCAGAGGGGGTCAAGTCCGGGGAGTATATGAGATAGGGAAGTATTTCAAAGCTGCAGTCAGTTGCAGGAGCTATCGCAAATTGGATGTGTGAGGTGGCGCATTGTCGTGCAGGAGCAGAACGCCTTGAGTCAGTTTGCTCCCCCCCCCCCTCTTTACGTCTCAATTCATCTGCATAGTACGTACCGTGTATGGTACGACCTTGCTTAAGATAGTCAATCATGATTATCCCCTGACTTTCCCTAAAAATGAAGCCATCATCTACCCTGCTGATGGCACCCTCCTGACTTTTTTCGGAGGAGGTGAGCCGGAGTGCTTTCACTGCATGCTCTGTTTTTTTAATTCTGGATCGAAGTGTTGGACTCATGTTTCATCCTAAGTTACGATCCGGTAGATAAAATCAGGTTCATCCTCGTAGCAAGACAAAATATATCTTGAAATGTCAAGCCTGGTTTGTTTCTGTTCGTCAGTCAACTGTCTGGGGATCCATCTAGCGGAAACCTTTGACATATGCCATAAACATCAGTCAGAATTGCCTGAACAAACCAAAGCTTATGCCCACTTTCCTTGCAATGCTTTGCAGATCTCGCATTATGTCGAACATGACCAGATCGTGCACAGACTCGGCAGTTTCATCGTTGGCGGCCTCTTTTGACCACCCAGGCCGCTCATCATCTCCAATGCTCTCCCTGCCCCACTTAAATTCAGCAGCCGATTTTTACAGTGCTATAGGGAGGGGACTCCTTCCCAAAGGACTCCTTCCCAAGTGTATTCATGAAGTATTCATGGATTTCCTTTGAGTCATCCCTTTCTTACAGAGGTACTTAATGACGGCTCTGATTTTAACTTTCTCCATTTGGTCTAAATGACACACCCATCTACTGATCAAAGTGTGTTTTATGTTACTAAATCTGTGTAAAACCGCATTAACTCGGTCAGTAATCTTCAATAAGATATCGGTATCGACGTATTGTGTGTAAATGTCAGTGTAGTGGCTAAAAGTATATCGGGCCGAGAACCTTTTGATCATACCTCGTAGCAGCATATGCCGGTTGATGAAATTTTACAATATTTTGCTCTTCAGCCGTTATATTCGCCATATATGCATAATAGGAGCATGGTCCAGTTCATTTAGATTTGCTCAGCCATATTTGCTCTCGTCATATACTAGTAATTTATGTTTTTCACTTTTTTATGTTTTACTTTTGCAGCGAGTTGTAAAACACAACTTTACTTTTATTAAACGGACTCCACTTTTTTAAATGAGAGGACTGGACCAGCAGATGTGTGTACCAAATGAGTTAGGTCTGGACCAACAACTTGTGTAGGACATGTTAGGTCATTTTCTTACTCCTTTTTTCGAGAACGTTTTTTGTTTTGTTTTGCAAAATGACCTGACAATGAAAATTGTTTTAACGCTTTTCACAGATATCCGGCTAAAAATCGCACAAAAATCTATTTACTTTGGGGGTGTATTTACTTAGTATCCTTTGAAAATGTTTCATTTTATTATTGTAGCATCTTCTAATTTGATTTTTAGGGCTTTGGAATTCATTTAAGTCATATCTATAAAGATTTGTATTATTATGTTCTTTTTGTTTTCCAATAACAAAATAACCGAGCAAATATTTAACACTTTGATTATTATGCCTTTTATACAGTACTTTACTGGTTAACCCATTTAATGATCACTTCCTCTACTCCTTTTAGACGTTCACATATTACATGGTGCGTCCGTTGCTGAGTGGTTAAAGTCGTTGACCTGAATTCACTTGACCCGGACGTATCTCTGGAGGTTTTTCCAGGAACTTTAGATTTCTCCATGTTAGGATGATATCGAATTAGGTTATAGAATGTTTGTGGTTTTACTCAGGTGCCTGTTTTGCATCCCAAGTTAAGCTTGAAAGTCAACTTAAAATACCCCACACCCTCGCAAAATTTATTAATAAGTAAAATTAAAACAGAAAAAAACATACACACACAAAACAATTGTTTGATATTTCAATAATTGAGTTGTTAAAAGATCTGATGTTTCAAACGAAATCTTTAAATATACTTAACGGTATTATAAATATTAGCTTTTATAAACAGAAATCAATTAAAGACCATCAACATGGGGCTAGAAACTGACTTGGAAAACCATCAGGAACAGACGCTTACAGGTGATGTAGACAAACGGAAAAAGACGTTAAAACGTAGTGCGGTCCGACTGGCAGGCTTTATGTTTTGGACAAACTTTGCCGCTTTCGTTTCCTTAATGATAGGATGTTTTGCTCCCGGATGGTTAACTATTGGAAAGAATGACCTCTCACTATGGCATCTCACAAAATGTTATCTAAATTCCGAACATCCAATTGATGCTGTTAAGACGTTCAATCGATGTGAGATAATATCGTATTATTTGGTTGCTAGGCCACCTATGGACTTACACGCAGGTACATATACTTTTCCTGTCAGCAACTATCCCAAACAAAGCGAATTCTGACTATATTTTTCAAAATGCATCTTTAATGAATGTTTTACTACCTTTTGTGTCTTTGTAACGTTTGCAAATTAATAGCGTGATCCAAGTTCATTTCAAAAGTTTCTTTTAAAGACGAAACATGTTTATTATCTGGCAGCAGATTCATGTGAAATATACAGTGAAAGAAATCATGCTGGCTGTTCGTCTGTCCGGAAGCTTATCTGTTTGTCCGTCAGGAATAATATCTTACTTATAATTTCTATGTCTTATTGTTTTGAATATTAATTGGGGTAAGAATTCGAGCATCACAACCACACAGTGCGCTTGAGTAATAGCCCCTTTTTAATCAAGAGGAGGGATTTCCTAAGACGAATTACTATTTTGAGCTACATTTTACACATGCATATGGTTGATTAGTTTTAATTTTGCCGCGTTGTGCTGTCGTAAGGGATTCGGTTATTTTCTCTAGTTTGTAATAAATGTCAGCAATTATGTATGTACCTATAAGGAACTGATGCTTATAAACATTGATAAAATCTAAAAGTGCATTTTTAAGTTTCTATAAAGCGTTGCTCCAGGATCGCATATCAATATACAAGAATACAGAAGTTACTTCAAATTATAGCCAGTCATTTGATCTGCACCATTAATATTTTCAAAATATATGAAAATGAAAAAATAAAAAATGAAATTGATTACTATATATTTTGATGTTTATTTTTGTCTAGATCTTGATTACATAGACCTTGTGGAAGCTGAAGTTCTATACTGCATCGGAATGGTTTTGTCATTTGTAACCTTGATAAAATTTTACCAACGAAGACAAAAAATTGCCAAAGGCATATGCGATGAAATTTGTTTACGAAAATGGGTTTTACTTTTTATACTGGCGAGTCTTTCAGGTATGTCTTTGATTTTTAAAAAAAGGATAGTATAAATAAAGCCACTGTGACGTTCAGTCTTTTGACACATGAAAATAAAATGATGTAAATGTATCCCATTCAATTAATTTTGCATGTTGATGAAGTATTATTGTTTTTCAAAAAAATAAAAAACGTTTCACATATAGGCTTATTATATCAGAAAATATATCAGAACAACTGAGAAGAAATGGTGTGCCATATTCCTGTATGAGGCTTGTTCGTACTGCAACGCGATGACGCTTTGCACGATTTCATGAATGTTGATATGCCTAAATTGCATTACCCTCCATATTAGTTAGCTAATCACAATTTTAATACAGCCAGACGTTGACCACTGCTATAAAAATGGAGAAACTGACTGGGAATAATTGCAGAAATTATAACTGATATAGTTGTAAAGCATAACTCGATATTCGGTACAGATGATTTTTACTAAGTTGGAGGACATTTATTGGTCTGTTTGTTGGTGTTTGTATGTGTAGATAAAAAATCTGACGTGCACAGAGTCTGTTAAAGATGAAAAATCTTGCCAATGGTGTACCAAATGCCTCAAACGTCAGGAAAATAATTAAAAGTAATAGAAAGTAGAAGATTCGTGATTCATGATTTGTCAACGCTGTTGGCATATCTCTTTCGCCGGTAAATTTAATTTTAAAGTGTATTTTGAAAGCACAAATGATTTATGCAGGATGAATATCACATTTATGACAGATGTCCAACACAAGGGTACAGCTACAAATCGCTAGGAAATTGCTCAAAATGTTCAAACTTAATCAAAGACAATTTTCAAAAAATAATACTGGTGAAAAATCATATGTTTACTATTTTGAACAAATCAGAAAAATTTGAAACAAAAAGTATCATGAGCACAAATAATGCCCTTTATTACATATTCTTCCTTCGAAATATCGTACAATACACATCACAATAATTATACACAGCGGTTGCCGATCTTATGTTTTTAAAAGGGGAGATAAACCTAGAGCAACTTATTTAAAAAGTACCGTTTGTCTTTGTATTGAACTGTTATTAAAGGGTAATCGCCAAATTGTGTCCGTCTGTTGATACCGACCTGAGCTTAATCCGGTCATTAAGTTTCGAATGGATAAAGAACACTCTTAACATGACTTAACAGTTTTAATTCCCTTTAGTTTAATCATATTTATTTCACTACATATATTTACATTTTATATGTATATAACTGTTACATAAAAATTCCCTTTTAGAATATCTTGATAGACCATAGTTATTAAAGTACGCTGATTTATTTCATTGTTAAGGCTTGCGTACATTCAGGATAATCACATATTTGTTTCTTCATTTATTTCCAGCTGTGCTTGTTTTATTACCTGTCGGAATGTTCAGTGGGATAAAAGAAAAGGATTCCTTTGTACCGCTGTTCAGTGGAATGGTTTTTGCTGGGTTTGGTGGAGCATCGATGACCTTGATTGCTACATCAATGCTTCTCTGTTTTCCAGTTCTTCCTTGTAAATATTTCCAGTTTGATGATACCCAAATTCCTGTTTAAAGGCTTAAACAATGTTTACACCAAGCCATAGCAACATTTACATTAACAATGTATGTAATACACTATGGACCTACACTGAAACTCAAGCAGTAGTATTAGCTAGAAGCTTATATGACTAATAGCTTTTTAGCTAATCTGGAAGCATTTAAAACAATTAGGATAAAAATCCAATGAAAATATTGTTTTACAAATTGAAAGTGAAAACTGTCATAATCCTTTAAAAATTGCTTATCTTTTTGAGCCTTTTTTACAACTGTTGCTTCTAAGCTGGTTGATTGCTAGCAAATTGTTTGACATTGACTCACCAACTTTGTTAGATTTTTTTAATTATGACAGAAATGTTAAGAATAATAAAATGTACTTGGAAAATGTGTCTGAGACATTTGTATATTTAATAATTTAAACTCGTCAAAGAGTACTGGGTTAGACGAAATTCCTGCCAAATTTTTAAAAGATGTAGCTTTCTAGGAGCAAATTTGTCTCAGAGCACATTTGTCTTACGTAAGACCGATGCGGTCGCATTTGTCCCACATGAGACAAATGGGACCTCAAATGTCTACCAAAACACATTTGTATGACTAATGTGTTCCGATCAAGTTTTTAAGGTAAAAGAAAGAACAATTGTCTCATGTTTTTAAGAGACAAGAAATTACGATGTTCGCCATTTTACCTCATCTCCAGTGTAATCATCATTAGGTTTGCTTATGTTTTTTATTTAATGTTAAACCTAAAACCTATAGTGGAACTATTAATTCTAATATGTTTAATTCAAGAAATTTGATTGGCTGAACCTGAAGGCGTACATTGAAACATACGAAATCCTGTTGACGATTGTACAATGATAAAAGCGTGATGACACGATCGTACGATGGTGAAAACACGATGGTACGAACGTGAAACAACGATTGTATGATTGCGCAGCAACGATGGTACGATGGTGAAAACACGATGGTACGAACGTGAAACAACGATTTTATGATGCTAGGATCAAGACACCAATTGTTTAATTGACTTGTTGGTTTCAATTGCAGTAATTCTTGGTGTTAATTGCACAATAAAGATGAAAAGGAAGTCTAAAAGTCTGATTGATTATCTAACACGTACATTGTAAATAGAGATATCTTCTGTGTAGACTTGTGTATTTACTTTATTTTTATTTGAACCGCCTCTGTGGTCGAGGGGTTAGAGTCGATGACTTCTAATCGAGTTACCTCTCTGGCGTGGGTTCGATCCCCGGGAGATGCTTTGGTAGTTTAGTGCGGAGGAAGGTAGTCTAGTACTGGTGTAACTCTCAAGGAACAATGGTTAGGAAACTACTCGCCTATATGACTGAAATACTGTTAGGAAAAGGCGTTAAATGAAACAAACAAAACTTTATTTTTTGTATGGCAGTATAAATACAATGATATTTATAGCTGTTTATTTCACTTTTATAATAAAAATGCCCCCCCCCCCCCCCCCCCCCCCAAAAAAAAACCCATATAGTTCATTATTACACTCCAATAGGTGAATTCCCCAGAGCTACATGTATGTACAAAAAGTACCGGAAAAAGGCGTGTTAAGCTAGGTTTTCGAATTCTTTTAAAAAGGTCCAAGAGAAACAACTCTGGCAAATTTACAAAATATAAATACATGTACCAATTACTGGCCCTGTTACATATCTTAATGAACAATGATATAGATGCACGTTCCACCATCAATGTGCTACCTCTGTCACTTTGACATTGTATAAAAATTCGGACTTTTTTAGTATACATGTAATTATGTAGGACACATAGGCTAATACTCCGTGGAATTATGATTTGCAAAATTTAAGTGTTGTTATGTCAAACTCAGTCAGAATTTAACAAGCACTGAACATTGTTGTGATGACTTTAATTCAAAAAGTTCTTTGCTTGATCAGAGACAATCTGAGGAGGCTGTTATAATGGAAATAGTCCGAGTCTGTTCACCACGCTGGTTAACACAGGTATGAGCCGTGTTAATGTCGTGATACATGCCTATAATGCCGTATGTTTTGTGGTGTTGTAAATTACCGTCAAGCTAATCTTACTATGAATTAAACTAAAAAGGCAATTTTACTATCAAACCAGGATTGTTTAAAATAATCGCCAACTTTACTCATTTGAAGTGAATTACCATTAACCCCTTTATATATCTTAAGGCCTCAACAGACGGTAGGATTTTGAAGTACAACACCAATTAAAACTAAGGTAAATCTTAATGTGTGAAGACTACTATTTCTTGAATTCGGAAACCTTAAGTCTAGATGTAAGGGACAGGACATGTTCTATTTTGAAAATCTTGTCGTACAGATTTCTATAGACCTCCCACAATGACAAGTAACATATTACCAAATTATCTCCTGATAATGGGAGTAATGAATGAAATTCCAGAACAATTAGGGCTAAAAGGTAAACATAGTAGTAAGATAGGGTAAAATGATGTTGAAAAACTCTTCAGAAGACCCAAAGTTGTGTTATGTTCGAATCCCAAATTGTTCTGAAAATGATTATGTCACGGTATTGAACTGTTCTCTTACCAGGGGAGGTAGTTTGTAGGCGGCCGGATAGCTTAGTCAGTAGAGCCGCAGTCGGTATTCCGAGGGTCCCAAGTTTGAGTCTCGGTCAGGCTTCACATTAATTTTTTTTAAATGGAGGTGTCCCAATCATTACTCATGGCGAAAAAAGTATTTAATGAGTAAAGTGTGTAAAGGATCAATGTAAAGGGATCCTTTTTAGGGAAACCTCAGATGATTCCTACAGCGTAGAATGACCGTCTGAATGCAAGTGTTGTATTGCTTTGAAAAATGTACATCTTATCCCTAATAAGTGCTGTACAACTAAATCATACCGTCTGTTGAGGCCTTTAATCATACAAAAGATTTATATAATTATCATGATAAAATGTCGTATTTTATATTTTATATTCATTTTAGAGTAGAAGAGCAATGAAGTGATTTGACTAGATAGCTTATCGCCCAAACGCGCGTATCTTAAATACCGTAACACGCCAAGGCCTCAACAGACGGTAGGATTTTGAAGTACAACACCAATTAAAACTAAAATGTACAGACAAATCTTAATGTTTGGCTACTTTTTCTTGATTTCGGAATCCTTATGTCTAGATGTAAGGGATAGAACATGCTCTATTTTGAAAATCTTGTCGTACCGATTTTTACAGACCTCCCACAATGACAAGTAACAGATAACCAAATTATCTCCTGATAATGGGTGTAATGAATGATATTCCAGAACAATTAGGGCTAAAAGGTAAACATAGTAGTAAGATGGGGTAAAAATGATGTTGAAAAACTCTTCAGGAGACACAAAGTTGTGTTATGTTCGAATCCCAAATTATTCCGAAAATGATTATGTCACGGTATTGAATTCTCTAATTAGGGGAGGGGAGGTAGTTTGTAGGCGGCCAGATAGCTTAGTCAGTAGATCCGCAGTACCGTATTCCGAGGGTCCCAGGAATGGAGGTGTTTCAATCATTACTAATGGCGAAAAAAGTATTAGTGAGTAAAGTATGTAAAGGATCAATGTTTATAGGGATCCTTTTTAGGGGAAACCTCAGATGATTCTTACAGTGTAGAATTACCGTCTGAATGCAAGTGATGTATAGCTTTGAAAATTGTACATCTTATCTCTTATTAGTGCTGTACAACTAAATCCTACCGTCTGTTGAGGCCTTAACTAGAAAATGGTTCTTTGCTAATGTTAAACTTACATAATTCTGTAGTTGTCTGAATTTTGTCCATTAGTTTAAATCAAGTCTATTAAAAATGATTAAATTGACCAAGTCCGATGTGAAACAATAATATGTAACCTTTCTCATTTCGGGCGCGTAGTTCGTGTGCTAAAACTTTTCGTTACGTTTCGTAAGTTTCAAGTTTTACAACTTAAACCTAACGTTAGAAATTGCACACAAATTACTACTTTATCATGAAAATCTGACAAGAAATATATAGAAAGGGGAACTGATTCACTACATGTTCAGCATGGTTTGTTGTTACCACAGTGTTTACTTGAACTAGCTTCCTCACTAATGAGAGAAGGCTCGTGCGCGGAAAAAATGTTATTTATAAGACTGAATATAATCATGCTGTGTGGGTTGAGCAACCAAACATAGGCCTATACACTTGAAGCTCGTAAATAGAGATTTAACTTTCCGTCACACAATTTAACATACCGGCAGTGAGAATAAGATTGAATTGGAGCGTTCAATAAGGGACAATAAGTTTCTTTTATGTAGACTCGAAGTGTTACATTTCATATTATTATGAAGGGAATATCGAGCCAAAGAGAATCATCAAGTGACGTCCTCAATAATTTTAGCCTTCCTAAAATTTGAAAATATTCCGTGGAAAAAACAATAGCTATTTTTTTTTCGCGGGATAAAAATACCATATTTTGTAGCTAAAAGAGAAGGTCTTGTTTTACAGAATTTAAAGTCATGAAAACCCGTATAATATTTCGGGAAATCATTTCTGAGAAATAAATAAATAGTTTAAAATCATAAGATAAAAACGAGGGTTATATGTGCATTAATGGTTATAATTAACTTATATATTGATACTTTGGATCAATACATCGATAAAATGGTTTCATATATTGTAAAAATGAATTAATATATTGATAATTCGGTTTCATATAAAGACATCTGGTTCCATAAATGGCTTTTTTGGTACCATATATTGAAGAACTGGTATATATAAGGATATCTGGATCCATATATGGCTAATTTAGTACCATATATTGAATAATTGGTACATGTATAATATAATGTGATAACGAACTTATATATTGCTACTTTGGTTCCATACACTGATAAATTGGTTTCATATATTGTAAAAATAATTAATATATTGATAATTCGGTTTCACATAAGGATATCTGGTTCCATACATTGCTACTTTGGTACAATATATTGAAGAACTGGTATCATATATTGAGAAAATCAGCTTATTTATTGCTACATTGGTTTCATATATTGTAACTGTGGATTAGTATAATGGAGCCAGTTTAAGAACTTTCAATTCATATGTAGTTAAAGTGAAGTTATATACAATCGACATGGTTAAATTAATTGAAAAAGAACGATATATGACAGCCATGGGTTATTATAGATAAATACCGCTCACCTTATAAGACAAAATAAGGGAGATCACTAAGTAAACCCTATTTTTTCAGCAGCCAATTTTCAAATTTTTTTTTCATATCGTTTCATAAGTAACACATACAATATTGTAAGAAATTACATTACTACTTGTATTCAATAAATGTCTATTTTTACAATTTTACTGTGTAAAATAAATATAATGAAAAAATATACATAAAATGACTTCACAAAATATGTAAATAAATGATATTTATGTCATTTTCATAACGACGCATAGCACTTTTTAAAACATGTATAACGTTATAAAAAAATTCGAAAGTTGAAAATATGATGCTTTCACAAAATACTAAAGAATGTCATTATCAAAACAAAGTGGCAGTACTCATTCGTATTATGTCATTAATATGTGTAACTTTTTTACAGAATATCATTTTAGTATTCTTAATAAAGTATGACAAAAGTTGGTATGCATTAAGCTTTCTCAAAAGACTGAAAATGGCATTATCAACAAAATAGTACTCTTTTGTGTTACGTTATAAAAAATGACGAACATTGGAATGTATGAAGGTGTAACGAAAGACTCCAAATCAAAGTTTAGTAAACAATCTACCATTATACATAGTTTACAGACAGGAAAGATAAAATTGTCATTTCTTTTAACAGTTATAATAATGTTACTTTAACAGACAACCACCAAAAGCTGCATTTGCATCGACAAACTAGTTCATCACTTATATTTTTCACATCAGGACAATCGTGTTATAAAATAAAAAAGGTCAGCACCATCAAAGCAGAAATCGCATGGCTTACAGATACTCGGATGCATCCACTTGTATCTGAAATGAAAACAAAAGTAAATCAACTAATTTTCTAGTCTTATATTTTTTTTTTACAAGATATACACATGTGTCCCGTATTATTACTATCTACACATTTTATTTTTATGTTACCATTTGTAACAACAAAGACTGAAAATTTGACCGCCCGGAATTAGGAAGGACTTTTACATGGTAACTTCATGTACACAACAGGATTTATTTTATACCGCATGCGTTTATATATTGTTAAATTATAAATAACTGCTATAAAATAATTGTTGTTCGGTCTCTACTGCCGCTAATGACAATAAAGAATGATCAGCAATAGCTGTGTTTAGTTGTCAAAGAAATATGTCTTTGCTTTGTGTAAATCTGAACAACCGGTACCTCTGGTTAGAAAAACACTATTTCGAAGACATAATTATATGATTGTTATTGATAAATTTTGCTCTACAAAAATTAAATTTATTATTTAGTGTTTTTAAAACGTAAAGAATTAAAACTATTGCTTTTACAAGGGCTTTTTGATAGAGATATGAACTATAATCCTCGTTTTTTCCTTAGTAAGATAAACTGACCGGGTTTGGTTGGCTCTGATAATTCATTGATTGATCTTACAATGGCATCTGATGTCTTGCCAAGGAAGTTAATGTTATCATCAGTAAGCATCGTAGCTAGATCATCACAAGGATGGTGATAGCATTCCACCATATCTCCACGGAAATTTCCTGTATAAAGAAATCATTGCACAAGAATATAAACAAATTGCGATATTAATTCAGCATTCCACCATATATCCCCAGAAATTTACTGTATAATGAAAACGTCGCACAATAACAACATAAAAAGTGTTATGCCGATACTGATATGTTTTTCATATAGAACAAGCACTATGATATTCTACAAAAGACGTTCTTCTTAGTGCCTTATGCTAGCTTCAAGTAAACAGGGCAGACATACACTTGCTATCTGATCGTGATCTTACCATAGTCAGCACTGTTTGATATTTGCTAGTACAAATTTGGAATATTTCAGTACAGTGATGAAAAGTCTTGTCCTGTTAAAAAGATGAACACATGTATTAATCCATTTAAAGAATTTAGTGTGTTGCGGGTTAAAAGTCATATAAACATAGTAGGTCTGTGAATTTAAAAGTGGCGTCATTAAACGAATAAGCGAACAAAAACATTCTGTATCACGTTTCAGTGTACATTTTTATTACCAATAGATATGGCCATGTGAGTTTTAAGTTTACAATTTGTTATATAACTAACCTGAATCTGTCAAAAATATCGCTGGTATATTGTCACGCCAGAAGTTTCTGTGGTCACTGCGGAAGAAGTTTCCAAAAGAATTCATCAAGGTCTGATTCAGGGCACTTACATTTGCGAATGGTAAAGGAAACGATTCTATTTCAAACTGAGTGCGTTTCTCAGCTGCCCAGGACTTTGTCATTGAAGTTGAGAGTGAGTCATCAACTGTTTTGCGATATATCATAGCTAGAAAATCACCTTGGAAATTGTCAGACTTCATACTCTCGAACGACTTTGGAAATAGTTGATGAAACTGGAAGTTTGAAATAGTAATTTGTATATCTACAGTATGAAGCAAAGTTGACAGTCTATTTATTAAAAAAAGATTCATAACAGCAATGTAAATTTGACATTGTTGAAATAGTTTTAGTAGTTTGCACTTTTTATTAATACAGAAATCCTATTTCTCGTGGCGGAACTAACACTGCTACTTTGAATAAGAAAATAATACTTGAACTTACAGTAGCTTCTGCTCCATTAGGTAATTTCTGAGAATAACTGGATGTATTATATTCCATTATAGTATCCAAAATAATTATTCCATGCGGATTTATGGACCGGGCCGCTTTACCATAATTCTTGTCAAGCCATGGATTCAGCCAATGCTGGATAAAAACTTCGCTTCCTATATAACCTGCAAAAAACAAACCGAAATCAGCAATTGTATAGCAGATAATATTGTATGAAAGCTTTGTAAAATTGATGTCAAACATACGTATTAATTAATGATCTTGCTAATTCACCCTGGCAGTCAATAGAGCACTGTGCCATTATTATCGAGTCTTAAAATGTCATCAGAATCTATATATTTTGAAGATTAAGGGAAACAATATCTGAGCTACTAACAGTACAGGACCTGGTCAGACTTCGCCGATGTGCAAGTTCGCCTTACAGTAATATACAAATTGCAATGGCTGGTCACCTTTGGTAAATGTTTGATTATACTATTTGACACGCTCTTAAACAAAGAACAAAATCCATATCAAAAGAAGGGTGACTTTGTTATAAAAATTCATCAATGATTGGAGTGATATTAAATATTGAATAAGAGAAATGTTTGCGAATAGAACAAGTCAACGGTTTTAGCGAATAGGAGCCAGAGTACCAAATCAGAAATAAACTTATACATGTATCATAATAACGTATATGCGACCAAATTACGAAAAGATGAATCGTGGTAAAAATAACCACTACATTTACATGTACATTGGACGCATTTATACTCGTACTTTTGTACTATGATAAATAAAATAATCTATGCACTTTTGTACTTTGACAGCTCAAAGATTATCATTTATGTACATGTACATGTATACTTTTATTTGCACTTTAATACTAATATTTAGATAACACAAATCAACTTTTCTCACATACTATAGAGAGAAAACATATTCATTTCCCCTCTTCTGTAGTTAGACATTATTATAAATCATTTTGCGATTCAGTTCATATTTTTGAATATTCTTAAACAGCAAATATAGGGAACAAAACATCTTCGTTCAGATTATTTTACCTTCTTCCTCTAAGTCAAAAGACACAAATATAATTGTGTTTTTGCGCGTAACTCCTTGTTTGTTTTGGCCTGTCAGTTGCTTAGCAACTTCCAACATTGCAGCTACACCGGCACCGTTATCATCAACTCCTGTGAATTAAACAAAATAACGACCAGGGAACGTAATACATGTTATGTGAAAAGCATTTGTAATTGTTTCTCTTTCCGATCCTTGGACTACAGCATTGACTTCAGTTATGACATTTTTACCCCTTCCATACAAACAAAAAAGTAAATGGTAAACCACCTTCTGCTGTCATTTTTATTTCGGATATAGGGACAGACTTCACAATACTAGTACATAGCAAACAAACGTGTTAAAATGTAGTTTTATTCGTTCAATTATTCATTTCTACAAACAATTATTTATCTGCGAACAATAAAATAAAGGATGCCTCCGTCGTTTTTACATCAACTTAATGTAATATTAATATATTTCTCATATAAGTTCATATTTCTTAAGGGGAGAGGATTAAAAAGAGAATATCAATCGACAATGCTAATATATTATATAAAATACGATCATTACCTTTAGTATGTTGCACAGTGTCAAAGTGCGCACCAAGTCCGATAATCTTATCATTTACCTTTCCAAAGTTCGTGCCCTTTAGAATACCAACGACATTTGCAAAAGGTACCTGAAAAATTTTATTATCAAATTTCTGCTAGATCGTTTAATACGCATGATTTATATTTAATCGCTTGTTATTTTGCTTTTTAACCCCTAAATATTCATAAACAATCAAAAACCTTGGAATCATTAAAGCAGCCTTGTTTATGATGTATAATATATATAATTTGAGGACACTCAATATTTATTGCCATTTGAACGCTTAACGAATGATAACCTAAAAAATGATAACCTACAAAATAATAACGATTTTCAGAAAACTATTTCGGTAATAAAATGTGGATCACTCAGCACAATAATATTTGCTTAACTTTACAGATAAGAAAAAAAGACCCACCAGGAGTAAACTGTTGATAACGCGGAAATTTTCCAAAAACAAACTTTTTTCAGGTTGATAAAGACCACACGTTTATTTGTTTAATTAACATCAGAAAAAATAAATCACTATCATGACCGTTCTTTTTTTATAGGGAAATAGAAAAAAAGTAATAGCGGTAGTTTTCTGAAAACGATTGTTAATATTATTTCATGGAACAGGGACGGGACAGGAAGCTATTTCAAATAAGATAAAACCCTTTTTTTAGAAAATAAGATCATCAATGAAGATAAGAAGCAGTGCCTTTCGTTTTGTAGAATGTGGCATGAAAATATTTCTTTCCACGCCTTTAAAAGTGAACTCAACTGATTCGATAATTATTGCGCTTTTTAGGAGTTTTTTGTTGATATTTGTTTGTTTTGTTCGTTTATATTAAGACGCACAGTTGCCCATTAATGTCTTAAATACACAAAAATATATCTGTATGGACAATTGCCTTCTGATATAAGCCAATATTTCTTTGTTGGAATGGCTCTTTACTTGATAATAATTATAATACTAACATCATATTTTAACATGCTTGCCAATAGACAGTCAAACTATAATTTGATAATTTCACCGTGAAATTATCAAATATAACTTCCATAGTAGCCAGACTATATTTTAATGCGGATAAAAATTTTTGATAAGTAATATCATATTTCAAAAATATTCCCCATCACAAGCAAGCGATAAGATAAAACCGCTGACACTTACTTTAGATATGTCGGGGTAACTGAAGTTATGATATGAGGTTTCAAGCCCGAATCTTTTAAACTCATTGTATATGAATTCCTTGGAGGCCACTTTGTTAGTATTGTTGATTTCGTGGTGGCGATTTTCTGAGAAGTGTTTGGTAATTGTTGATCTCAAGTAATCAATGTCCGCTGCGTAGATCACGTGACCTATCCATAATGCAAAAAAAAATAGCATCATTATTATGCATATCTGACAATTACTCATTTGCTAGAGATATCGATCATTCGTGGAATAACATAGAATGATTTATATGCAAATAAGGACTTACAGATTACTATGTACGTAGATACTATTGTACGAAACATTTTGAAGACTTTACGCATGTAAATTATACATATGAGCCGTGTCACGACAAAACCAACATAGTGGGTTTGCGACCAGCTTCCGCGCAGTCTGATCAGGATCCATGCTGTTCGCTATCAGTTTCTCTACATGCTATAGGGTCTGTAAGCGAACAGCATGGATCCTGATCGGACTGCGCGGATGCGCAGGCTGGTCTGGATCCATGCTGGTCGCAAACCCATTATGTTGGTTTTGTCGTGACGCGGCTCAATTATATATCACTATCCCAACTCTTCCTCCTTACACCTACCACCCACAGATTCATGCTAATTTTCATGAAAATTTGAAAATGTATTTAATAGTATAGTATTGTAAAGATACCAAAAGAATGCAATTTACACATTATCAATGGCATTTACAAATATACAACACATGTAACTTACAAAAAAAGAGGTCAAAATATACAAAAATAGCTCTTACTACGATAGTAACGCAGAAGAAATATAGTTATAAATGCTGAAAAATAGATCATTAATCGCGCATAACATTTAAACTATTACTAAAATATTTAATCTCTTTACTTTTCCTAAAATCTTAAATCATCAATCTCAGGTTTGATTTTATTGAAATATTTTTGCTAATCATTTTTATATGGAGGCGTGCAGCTTTAAGGCAAACAAAAGATAAGATAAATGGAAAGTAAGTAGATCTATATAAACATTTAAACTGTTACAATTCAAGTGACATTGTGAATGTCGACTGCAAAAAGTTACAGATCATTGTCTTAGATTTCTGCATATTTTGATATGCTATAATATAAGGTTATCATACAATGATCAGTACAATACTGAAATCTATTGCTATTGGACACTACATGGCTGTGAACCTATATTGTACGAGGCGCTAGCGATTCCACAATTTTCACAAAAATGACAAAAATTTGGAGGAATGCTGCTTGCTGCTTTGAATAAGATAATGCCAAAAAATCAAGCAGTACTGCGTAAATAAATTTAAGAAAAAGTACACAAAAGAAACAGATGATTCCGGTTTTCAATCATCTAAATGTATTCAATCATTTAATATAAGTATGTATATTTATGTATAATGTCATATGTAGATCTGTGTTATTTTACCGTATACATGTATAAATTTCTTAGTTAAATAAGATTCTGACATAGTCTACATTTTCATTCACGATAGCTTAAAATTAATGCACTTAATAATGAAGAATATGTTTTTAGTTAATAAAGTTTTTGCCATTGTTAAAGCCCTACGTATTACTAGTAAATCATTATTTATAGCTATGTTGTATTACTTTATTTATATTTAGACTTGTCACATTATTATGATCAATTGTTATTACGTATTCCATCTTGTCCATTAGGTATTCCCATAAACAACACGTTTATACTTTAATAATATAGCTCTATTTTATTACTTTATTAAGATCGTGAGAAGAACTTCAAATATCTACTGTGCTGTGCGCTAACATTTATTCATTTTCCAAAGTATTATTTAAAGAATAAATACATGTGTACTTACACATAAGAAATGAAAGTCCGAGCAAACACCACATCATCATATATGTTCAAAGTATATACACTCTCTGAGATAAACCATAAAGTTAAGCTATTAGTGACAGTTATTCTGTAGGACACTTGAACAATATGCGCACTACGACAATTACACTAAATGCCACCTGTATTATCTGAACTCTCTTCAATAGCAGCCAGCAATTTCCGTTTAAACATTGACCTTAAAACTGTTTCAGTTTGATAAAAGCGTGCAAATTATAATACTACGTGACTGCGATAAAAGCATTTTCTGAAAAAATGACCAGATAAAAATCACATATTTACAAATACTTGAAGGGCAAAAAATGGGAGGAAAATAAAAATAAGACAAATGAGTAATCGCGCTTAGAAAATCGCAATATTTTCTGGAAAAAAAATGGAAGTACATGTAGTAGAGTAAATAAGCAAACGCTGAGACAGTACGCTCATTTTATAAGCAAACTACATGTAGGAGACAATAAAGTCACTTTAATTTCTATGCGGTTTTATTTATAAAAATAATTGAGGTTCGATATCAGCCGGAAAAATGCCTCACACATAAATACTCTTTAAAGGTAAATAGGGACATTATGATGTCATCAATTAGCAACATGATGTTGTGAAACACACCATTTTAACGACAAAAGTAGAACCAAGAATCTTCTATTTTGTGTTTACTATGTTTAGTAGAACCTGTTTACTATGATAAGTAGAACCTCTTAACACATAACGGCCTTTAAATGAAGAGGTTTATTTAACAGTTGTAACAACATTGTAATTTGCCATTGCAGAAATAGAAATAACAAACATAATTGAATGGGATAAGGCCGTGACTTTATTAAGCATTTGGTGCAAATAAATTTCAATGAAAACAAAATATGAAATAATGTAATGAATAAAATATGAAAGACAGCTCCCAGCGAAAATGCTTGGACAGCTACATAGCAACGCAATGGTGCTGAAACTATGATAATAAGCGCTAAATATGCTAAATTCTGTTACAATACGGTCTGGGAAATGGAGTCGTATGGCATTGAAAATCCAGTAGAAAATAACATATTCAGAGCTAAAGAGAAAACGAGGCGAAGGTGAACTCTCAGAGATCTCCGTATATAATGAGATGATGTTGACGGACAGCATTCATTGTACCGAAATGCACATAATAGCGTGTATTGAGGGCCACACAATATTTTATGAAATAAAATTCGCCAATCAGAAAATACCTATTACAATCACGATTTATTTTAAGGTAATATAGACTTTTACTTATATTACGATGGGAAGACATACATATACATGTGTACTTATATTCTTACATTGAATTTATGCCGATTGATAAACACCATTATAATATGGGGAGACTTTTGAAAGAGACATACTGGTAACGTAAGACAGAAACATTTTTTCGGAAGGGTTTGAATGCAAAGGTGCTTTACAAATAATAAAATCGTTTTTCAAGTATATATACTTGCAACTTTTTACAAACTCGTCAATATCTTTTTTAGTACATATCGGCATAAAAAGACTGTTCTATTTTAGTAGTCATTAACTGTATCTAAAATTGTTATTAATTTATTTGAATCTATACAAATACATTATTTATGTCGATGATATAAGTATTTAATTACCTCCCTTTATTCGCGCATATTTTTGATTGTTACATTTATATTCTACATTATTAGCTCGACTATACGAAGTATATGGAGAGCTGTCCTACTGGCCCCGGCGTCCGCGTCGGCGTCCGCGTCCGCGTCCAGATTTTAGATTAAAGTTTTGGTGCAGTAAAATATTTTTCACTATAACTTTGTCATTTCTTAAGGTATCAACTTCAAACTTTAAATATATGTTCCTTATCATCTACCACATCTTATGTGACAAGGTTCATAACTCTAGCACCAATATTTTCAGATTTATCTCCCCTTGAACTTAGAATTTTCCTTAAAAAGTACTATTTTTTACTGTTACTTCTTTATTTCTTAAGGGATCAACCTCATACTTCAAATATATGTACCTTATCATCATCCCCATCTGATGTGATAAGGTTCATAACTCTAGCACCAATATTTCCAGATTTATCTCCCCTTGAACTTAGAATTTTCCTCAAAAATACTATTTCTTACTGTTTCTTCTTTATTTCTTAAGGGATCAACCTCGTACTTCAAATATATTTATGTTATCATCATCCCCATCTTATGTGACAAGGTTCATAACTCTAGCACCAATATTTTCAGATTTATCTCCCTTTGAACTTAGAATTTTCCATAAAATATCTTATTTTTACTGTTACTTATTTATTTCTAAAGTGATCAACCTCATACTTCAAATATATATACGTTATCATCATCCACATGTTATGTGACAATGTTCATAACTCTAGCACCAATATTGCAAGAATTATCTCCCCATAAACTTAGATTTCTTTACTAGAAAATTTTATTTTTTATTATAACTTTTTTTTTTTAAAGGTATCTACCTCAAACTTCAAATACTTATTCCTTATCATCAATTACATTTTATGTGACAATGTTCATAACTCTTGAAGCAATATTTACAGATTTATCTCTCTTTGAACTTAGGATTTTCTTTAAGAAATATAATAACTTCTTTACTTTTTAAGGTATCTACTTCAAACTTCAAATATATATTTCTTATCATTACACAAATGTTGTGTGACAAGGTCCATAACTCTAGCATGGCTATTTAGAATTATTCCCCTTGATCTTGGAATTAATGTTTACAAATGTTATGTTTTTACTATTTTTTAATACATATTAATACATAATTGATTTTTCTTTCATAGTTTTGTCCTCCTTACTGCGTCCAGTATTTTATTAGTCGAGCTTCGCTGTCTCCTGTGACAGCTCTTGTTCATAATGTATTAATATAAATTTTTTTTTTTAAAAAAAATTTTTTTTTTTTTTTTTTAAAAAAAATTTTAAAAAAATTTTTTTTTTTTAAAAAAATTAAAAAATTTTTTTTTTTTTTCCCTTTTTCCCTTTTTTAAAAATTTTTTAAAATTTTTTTAAAAATTTTTTTTTCCCCTAAAATTTTTTTTTTTCCCCTTTTTTTTTTAATTTTTTTTAAATTTTTAAAAAATTTTTTTTTTAAAAAAATTTTTTTTTTTAAAAATTTTTTTAAAAAAAAATTTTTTTTGGAAAAAAAAACCTTTAAAAAAAAGGCCCTTTTTTTTAATTTTTTTTATTATTAAAGTTTATTTAAAAAAAACCAAAAATTTTTTTTTTTAAAATTTTTTTTTTTTTTTTTTTTTAAACCCAAAAAAAAAAAAAAAAATTTTTTTTTTTTTTTTTTTTGACAAATCCTTTTTAAAACCCCCGGGGGACAAAATTTTTGGGGGGGGGAAAAAAAAAAACCAAAAATTTTTTTAAAAAGAATTTTTTAATTTTTTTTTTTTAAAAAAAATTTTTTTAATTTAAAAAAAAAAAAAAATTTGGAATTTAAAAAAATTTTAAAAAAAGGGGGTTAAAAAAAAAAAATTTAAAAAAAATTTTTTTGGGGCCCAAAAAAAAAAAAAAAAAAAATTTAAAAATTTTAAAAAAAAAATTTTTTAAAAAGGGTAAAAAAAACCCTTTTTAAAATTTTTTTTTTTGGGGAAAAAAACTTTTCCCCAAAAAATTTAAAAAAAAAAATTTTTTTTTTTTTTTTTTAAAAAATTTTAAAAAAAAAAAAGGAAAAGGAAAATTTTTAAAAAAGGGGAAAAAAAAAAAAAGTTTTTTTAAAAAAAAATTTTTATTTAAGGAAAAATTTTTAAAATTATGCCCCCAAAAAAGTTTTTTAAAAAAAAAAAAAAAATTTTTTTTCCCCAAAAAAAAATTTTTTTTTTTTTTTTAACCCCTTTTTTTTTTGGGGTTTTTTTTTTTAAAAAAAATTTTTTTTTATAAAAAAAATTTTTTTTTGGGGGGGCAAAGGGGGTTGAAAAAACCCCCCAAAAAAAATTTTTTTTTAAAAAGGGGGAAAAAAATTTTTAAAAAATTTAAAAAAAAATTTTTTTTCCCCCCTTTTTTTTTTCCCCCTTTTTTAAAAAACCCCAAAAAAAATTTTTTAAAAATTTTTTTTAAAAATTTTTTGGGGAAAAAAAAAACCTTTTTAAAAAAATTTTCCCCCCCCCTTTTTCCTCCCAAATTTTTTGGAAAACCTTTTCCAAAATTTTAAAAAAAATTTTAAAAAAAAAGGGGGAAAAAAAAAGGGGGGGCCCCCCAAAAAAAAAAAACCCCTTTTTTTTTTAAAAATTTTTTTAAATTTTTCCCCAAAAAAAAACCCAAAAAAACCCTTTTTAAAATTTTTTTTTTTTTTTTTTTTATAAAACCCAAAAAAGGAAACCCCTTTTTTTTTTTTTCCCCTTTTTTTTTTTTAAAAAAAAAAAAAAAGGGAATTTCCCCCCCTTTTTCCCCTTTTTAAAAAAATTTTTTTTTCAAAAAGGGGGTTTTTTTAAAAAATATTTAAAAAATTTTTTTTTTTTAAAAAAACCCCCAAAAAAAAAAATAAAAAAAAAATTTTTTTTTAAAAAAAAAAAAAAAAAAAAAATTTTTTTTTTTTTTAAATTTATTCCAAAATTTCCCCCCTTAAAAACCCAAAATTTTAAAAAAAAAAACCCAAAAAATATTAAAACCCTTTTTTTTGGGGGTTTTTTTATTTTATTTTTTTTTTTAAAAAAAAAAAATTTTTTCCCCTTTTTGGGGGGCCCGGAAAAAAAAATTGGGGGAAAAAAAAAATTTGGGAAAAAGGGAAAAAAACCCCCCGGTTTTTTTGAAAAAAAAATTTTGAATTTTTAAAAAAAGGGGAAAAACAAAAAAACCCCCTTTTTACCCCTTTTTAAAAAAAAATTTTAAAAAAAATTTTTTTTTAAAAATTTAAAAAAATTTTTAAAAAATTTTTTTAAAAAAGGAAAAAGGGAAATTTTAAAAAAATTTTTTAAAAAACCCCTTTTTTTAAAAAAAAAAAATTTTAAAAAACTTTAAAAGTTTATTTTTTTTTTTTTGGGGGTTTTTTTTTTTACAAAAAAAAAATTTTTTTTTTCCCCTTAAAAATTTTTAAAAGGGGGGGGTTTTTTCCCCCAAAAAAAACCCTTTTTTTAAAAAAAAAAATTCCATTAAAAAAAACCCTTTTTTTAAAAAAAAAACAAATAAATTTTTTTAAAAAAAAAAAAAAAACCAAAAAAAAAAAAAA